GACTATATTTTTCCTAATGTATAAATCACAAATAATGATCAAAGAAGTTTTAAGTAAATAGTGTAAAAGTTCTAATGGTGCAATAAAATAAAAACGGAGGAAGTATTTTTTACTCCCCTCCCTACCTTCAATTACATAACACTCCGTACTCCGTATGGAGTGGAGGTTACATTTTACGAATATATGTTTCAATGTTCACCCTTCACTTCCCTTGACCAATAAACTACACAAATCAAGAATTAGCTAGATTGACTGAAAAAAAGGGAATGTAACCCTCTCTTTACCATCAAGATCTATGGCATAAAGGTCTTCAATTGACAAACTAAATACTACGTATCTAAACTGTAAAAAGCATCTGAGACATTAAGCTTCAAAACATATTATAATTTTACTGCAAAATAATAACCATCGAGAAATTCATCACATTTTCAGCAAAGCAAAAATAGAAGCGAATTAGATAGCTAACATATAATACTTCTAGGTGTAACAATTCGCAAATCTCCTCAACTACTAGCTAGTTTCTTACCAAAAAGTAACTAAAGACATTATTCTACTAGATGAGAAATTACTAGTTTACACACAGATGAGGCCCTCCGAACTTTGAATAGCCTTGCAATTGCAGCAATTGTTGTTCCACTAACCCTACCCTTCAAATTGATCTTGAGCACCTTCAAGTTTATGGCATTCATTAACAGATATTCCAGCAGTATCTTATCAGCATTCACCAAATTAAAGAAGCTGATGTTGACAACTTCAAGTGTAATTGGTATTGGACATTTGGTCAAACAAGTTGGAAATACTGGAGGCAGTGGACATCTGCATACGTTACCACTAATACTAGCACTGTCAAAACGGTTTGACAGTTCGGTTTCGGTTCGGTTTGAAATCGGTTCGGTATTTAATCGGGTCGGTTTGGAATCGGTTTAATTGTCTCACGGGTCGGTTTTGGTTCGGTTTAAATAGTTATCGGTTCGATTTGGTTTCGGTTTATTGTTAAGCGGTTTTAATTCGATTCGGGTTGTAAACAGTCCGGGTAGTAAACGGTTCGATGCAGACGGGTTGCGGTTTGTTAACGGTGCGGTGTAAATGGTTTTTATCCCGGTTCAAACAGTTTCGGGTTGGAAACAGTTTTGGGTTAGAAAAAGTTCGGTTCTTTTTTGGTTCAGTTTATAACTGGTTCGGTTCTTTTTCGGTTCACTTTTTAACTGGTTCGGTTCTTTTTCGGTTTAGTTCTTCGATTGTTTAACCTCTTTAACGTTATTCATATCGGTTCCATTTCAAGTTTACTAAATTATAGTTGAATCTGAATTAATACATAGCCTAATGTATATTCATGTCACTAGCACACTCCCATCTTTATTTCATTATTACTCACAGAATGACAGAATCAATGTAATCATATGCTTAATAGTCTCTGTGAATTAATTTTATTTATTACGCCTTCATCCAAGCCTTGGTACTTAATATTACAAGCTTTTTATTCATTTGGTTTCATCACCTCAAATGTATACATGACTAGAGGCAGTAGTGTTGCTAACAGTTTGAGGCAGAGCCTAAGCCTGCTTGTTTTGCTCTTGTTTGTGAACAATTGATTATCCTTAAGACCTTAATGAATGATTTGCCTTGCTATTTTAAAAAAATATTCTAAGATTTCTAATATTTAATCCATTTAATTATATCCCCGTCAAAAAAAAAATCCATTTAATTATATAAAAAAGTTTGTAAACGGTTCGATTTAGAAGCGGTTTGGTTCATAAACGGTTCGATTTATAACCAGTTCGGTTTACAATCAGTTCGGTTTTTAAATGGTTCGGTGCAAACGGGTAGCAGTTTGCTAACGGTTCGGTGTAAGCGGTTTTTTTTGCCAGTTTAAACGGTTTCGGGTTGGAACCGGTTTCGGGTTAGATACGGTTCGGTTCTTTTTCGGTTCGGTTTTCTTTCAGTTCGGTTTGTTAACAGGTTCGGTTCTTATACGGTTTAACATTATTCGGGTCGATTCGGTTTCGGGTTTACTAAAATACGGTTCGGGTCGGTTTTCGGTTTCAAAAAAATCGGTTTTTAATCGGTTCGGTTCTCATTTGGGTCGGTCGGTTTCGGGCAGTTAAACGGTTTCGGTTTGAAATTTGACAGCACTAACTAATACCATCATGTCTTACCGAGTAATCAAGGGAGACGAGATTAGGGGCACGCTGCAAAATCCATAACACAAGATACCGCCATGAAAAGTTTGAGCATTTGATTAAACAGTGGTAACCCCTTACGATCAAATGGTTCAAGTGTGGAAACAACGGCAGTTGATCATACTCAGTTCCTCCAAGAGTAGCCTTAAAGTTAATGAGATGCAAAACAAAAGTAAAAATTCCATCAGATAGAAAAACAGTGAAAAATTCTAAGAAAGAAGTAGCAATATTAATTAGCTCATACCTCTATTGTATTAACTTTTAATCCTAAAGTCATCAAGTTAGAAACTTGTTGAAGGATTTTAAACACTAATTGTAAATTATAACACTGTTCAATGTGAAGTCTAGCTTCAGCTAGAGAGAGAATGTTGCCAAACTTGTAGTCTGAGAAAAAATCATCGATACAAAGATATTCAAGACTTGGAGCAGCTACTATTGTAATTTTTTCATTCCCTCTAGAACATGTTTTATTGAGATTCAATCTCTTTAAACTTTAGCACCATAATTTAAGATATTCAAGAATGAATACATATATTTTGCAATCCGCTGCAATGCTGAATAATTAATTCTTCAAGACGAGGCAACCTCATCAAGATATCATTCAAAGAAAAATCATCTGAAAATTGAATGTTTGTCAAGTGTAGGGTTAACAGATTTGGCAGGTGAATTGAATTCCGAAGAGGAAAATCAAAACTCGTCAACTTTAGCACCATAAGTTTCTCATTCGAAAATCAATATCTATCTCAATAACATCCCGTCGCATTATATTCCTAATCCATGAATGATATTGGAGGGCATTGACATCTATGCTGAAGAAGCAATTAAGCTTAAACAGCCTTAATGATCAAGACTCTATCCACAAACGCGTTGAAACTGTTGACAGGACTATCAAACATTGAAAATTTAAGCACAGGAACTTTGGTCCAAACAGATTCCCATCTTTTAGACAATATGCTAGTAGCCACAGCTTCTTTGGTCGATAAAAATGATAAGATTTCAGAGAGGAGGGCATCCGGCAAACTGCTAATCCTGTCTAACTGTTCATCCTCGGCCATTGTCAATTCTCTGCGTGTAGAAAAAAGAAATATTATGGAAATCAAAAGGCAGAGATTACAAGTATACTATCAAAAAAATTAACAAAAACATGAAAGGATAAAAAAGATACAGTACTAGAATATATACTTACAGACAATTGAGTTTCTGATGAAATGGGATAGAAGCACAATAGGGGTTTTATAGACCAGAAAAACTGTTAGACTACCCTGCACGAATATTAACTAAGTACATTGAATAACAGCTATCTTTGACTGGGATTTTCTCTTCAGATTTCACTCGATCTCCTTGGTAATGTTGGGAATCTTGGGATACTATTTGTTTCTCTATAAATTAAAACTCTTACACTTCCAATAAAAAAATACAATGAACAAATGATTGATACTAGTGCAGTAGTAATTATTTCATGGGAATCTTAAAAATACTAATCACAAAATGCATGTATCAACAATTTACTACAGTTCTCTTCAACAAAAAAAAAAACAAAAAAAAAAAATCAATTTACTACATGGGAGAAAATAATACATAAACCCTATGCACCTAATTACACTCAAATAATGGGGGAAAATAATGAGAATAACTTTTTTTTTTATGATGTATACGCATAAATCATACGAGTATGACATACACGTCATGGTCAATGGTGGAAAATTGAAGTCAAATCTTTGAATCCAAAATAAGTTCATATACTCAATATCCTACAAGGCCACAACCAAAACACAAAATTTCCCAAGGCGTATGACTAATATGAGACACTAGGGTTGTTTGGCAATCGACGGTTGGTTGTTGACTTGTTTGACTATCTGGAAGTATTAGCTATATGGGTTGGTTTTTTAAGTTATTGTTTAAGTTGGCTATTTTCAAAAGTGTTTGGTAAAATTATTAATGGTTGTTAGCTGTTTATTAGTGATAAAGTGGTCAAACAAGCCAAAACCAATAGAAAAAGCTACTTTTATTAGCTTCCGAAAAAGATAGCTTAAAAGCCAACAAAAACACCAACTACCAAACATATTTTTTGGCTGTTTGACCAAACTTAAAAGCCAAAAGGTAGGCAAAAAGTCAATTGTCAAACACCCCCACTATGTGCAAACCTTAAAAACGTCATTAGGTATGTGTTTGGTGGGGGGTGGGGGGGAAGACAAACCGATAGATTAATAAATAGTTTACCCCGATCACACCCGGGCAGAGATTAAAGTTTAGAGAGCCTTCAAGCTTCAGCAAGAGTAGTTTCAAGTTTGTCCAAGTTATAAGCATTAATTAATACAGACCGGGAGAGGGGTAGATAAATATATAGAAAGTCTGGTAACAAAATAACCATGTTTTAGTTCCTTGCTTCCTCAGCCAAAATATATGCTAGCTTGTTGGTAGTCCTTTCCTCAAAATATAGCTCAATCCACGACACGGTTTTAAGCCGCAAGTTCCTGCAAGTGATGACATTAGAGGTTAGCTTTATGCTGTTGTAACACACATTATTAGTGGCATCCCAATTTACAACACAAATTTAACAAAAAATAGACTTACCCGGCATTAAGGAGGAGAAACTATTAGTTTACACTCAGATGAGGCCTTGGGAACCTCGCTTAGCCATCCAATTATTTCATCCTTGTTGTTTTCATCAACCTTACTACCCTTGAAATTGATTCTGACCACCTTCAAGTTTACAGCATTGTTCAACAGATATTCCAGCAGTATCATATCAGCATCAGCCACATCCAACAAGGTGGCGTTCACGACTTCAAGGGTTGGAAACATACATTTGGGTAAAGTTTAAGGTGCAGGTAGCTGTGGTTGGTATTCCTCTGGATTAACAAGATGTTGACGGAATTCCAATAGCTCACCAAAGCGTGGTGGGAATCCCTCCAAACGTATATTTTTGACATATTTTCCTTCTTTACTCTGTAGTACCAAAGATATTAACCATTGAAATAATTGGAAACATTCGAGTTTTAAATAGCTAGACTTACCGAAAAATCAAAAGAGACGATATTAGGAGCACATTGCAATATCCATAGCACAAGATACCGCCATGAAAAGTTTGAGCAGTTGGTTGAACTAAAGTCGTAGTCCACGATCACATGGGTCAAGTTTAGAAACAAGGGGCGTTGATCAGGCTCAGTATACCCAGGAGCAGGCTAAAAATTAATTAAATGCAAAACAAAACAGAAAATTCTATTAGATATTAGTGACAGAATTGGAAGTGGACATGAATTTAACCACTCAAAACTAAACCCAGAATCCAGATTAGCTCAAAAGGTGAACTGGATGAAACACCAAAAATAAATAGTAAAAAATAGCAGGATAAGTTTTACATAATAAAAAAAAAATAGAGTATATTGCTAACCTTTTTCGTTGCAATATCTAATTTCAAAGTCTTGAGGTTAGAAGCATGTTTAAGTAGGCTAATCAATTCAACATCATAGCGTTCAGTAAAGCCAAGTCCGACATGAAGTCTAGCTTCAGTCAAAGAGGGCATGTTTCCATACACATATTCAGAAAATTGGCTGCCATTAATACGAAGGTATTCTAGTCTTGGACAATCTATTGTATTCTGTTTAGATTCAGGAAACACCATTTCCTCAACGATTTCCAATCTCTTTAGAGAAGAAGAACAAATACACATATTTCGCGATCCCAAGCACTCAAATAAAACCAATTCTTCAAGCTGAGGTAAGCTCATCAAGATATTTTTCAAAGGCAAATTGTCTGTAAATGCAATGAATTTTAAGTGCAGAATTAAGAGACTTGGTAGATGAACTGAACCCTGAAATGGGGTTATTAACCCAAACAACTTCAGCACCGTAAGTTTCTTACTCGAAAAAGTCCCAGCAGGTAGTATTCCCCCGACATGTACAAGATCTATCTCATCAACATCCCGTCGCAATATATTCTTTATCCATGAATGATAATGGTAGTCCCTGATTTGTGTCTTTGATAAGCCAGAAAGCTGAAAAAGCCTTAATGAAGGAGAATCATTACACTGCAAGACTCTATCAACAAACGCTTTGAAGTCGTGGACAGAACCTGATGGATTAAATGAAAAGTTTAGCGCAGGGACTTTAGTCCAAATGGATTCCCACCTTTTTGATAATGTGCTCGTAGCAACTGCTTCTTTGGTTGACAAAAACGATAAGATGAAAGAAAGGAGGACATCCGGCAATCTGCTAATCCTGTCACCCTCAGCCATTGTCAATTCTCTGCAGTAGAGAAAGAAAAGGCTTAGAATATTTTTCTCTTAGAAACATATACTACCTCTGTTGACATTTACTTGCAACTTTAGGGTATTATTTGAGAGACATAAAATATTCTAAAGTTGCAAGTAAATGTTAACGGAGGTAGTACTAGAATCTATAGAAGTACAAGATTGAGTTAAAGATCAAATGGGTAAATAATAAAGATCCCGCTAATAAGCGCCAATTTAGTACTAGATATTTAATTAAATTAAAACAAAAACAATATTTATAATTTCCAAAGTAGCATCGCATTTCATTCACTTCCTTTTTCATAATAAACCATGCTAGCATTTACTTTGTATTTCTGCCTGTTCTCATTGAGAGAACTCAACTGAATTGAACTGAACTTATTAGAACTGAATTAAACTGAACGGAATATTTTATAAGAGAAGGAAATTAGAAGCTGAAGTAAACCGGACTTATTAGAGGTGAACTGAACTGAAGTGAAGTGAAAATAATCATATGAGAAGAGGCCCTTAATCTATATTCATTGCATTTACAGTATAATAAGATTGTAAGACTTAAAGTTTTTTTGGGGGGAAAGAGAACCAGGTAACAGGGAATGAATGACTTTCCAAGAGAAAATATTTTTTTTTGAAACAACACTATTGTAAAAATAGTTTCCTTTGTTTATATATTTACCAAAGAAAAAATGTAAAGAAAGAGGGAATTAAAAGTGATCGAAAGGGAGGAGTAGAATGACATGCGAGATATGAGATGTAAGAAATAAAGAGAAAAATGTGACATACTTTCATATCAAAACAAATAAAGCCTAAATGTAGGTTGCAATGAAAATAAATATAGGCTTACACATAAGTAATACAAGTAGTAAAAATGTCATTTATTGCTAAGGAAAATAAGTAAATATTAAATCAACTTTATACTGAGCCATTTTTATTATGTCAACCTTTTCTGAGCACGTCAACATTGAAGTAGCATTAATTTGAGTAAATCCTTTATAATTCCTGAAATTTTTAGATAAAATATTGGCATTTAACTTACCTACAAACTCACAATCTCCTTCTTGTCTCCATTCTTCCTTTTATCTTCATAATCTTAACTCCATTAAACATACTCTTTTTTTTCCCTTCCTCTTATCCCAGCACTGCTCACTCATTATCACGCATGCTCACACTAGCAAACCCAAAACCACATGTGCACACTTGAATTTCAAATTGAATTATTAGGGTTTTTTTTTCAAGGGAGGATAGAATATTAAACAACAAATTGTGACTTCATTTTAGCCTAATTCCGAAAAAAGAAAAATGAGAAGAGGATGAATGGAGAAGAAGAAGTAAGAATGAGGAAAAATGGGGATGAAGAACAATGAAAAAGTGTAATAGTTGTGGATTAAAAATTGGAAAAAAATATATAATTAGCCTTTTTATCTCCATCTAATAGTAAGAAGTTAACCAGTTTTTGCATGACACTTTTAATTTTAGCATAATAAATTTTAATGCTATACAAGTTTGATGTGTTTAGAAAAAATCAAAACGGTTGACATAATAAAAGTGAACGATCAAAAGCATTTTTTGTATTTACAAATTTTCCTATTGTTAATTAATTTATTAAAATAATAATTCTGTTTAACTAGCTCCAAATCGCCAATGCATGCGAAGAATATAGGATTAAAAAAATAAAAAAAAATTAAAATTTTGTGACTTTCAAATGAAATAAGAGAAGCAAAGACGAATTTAGTAGTTAGAAAATTAGATTGTTTGCTCCATTGTCTTGAATTGAATTAGGTGATGATCGATCATTTGAAATTACCTAATTAAATTGAAAAATTATCAATTAATTATTTAATTGTCATAACCATATCATACAATAACACAAATATATGATCTAAATCATCAAAAAAACATTAAAAAAAAAAACTTAAACAATTAAGAATTTACAACTCTAACAAAACAAGGTTTAGACCTGACAAACAATTAAATTTAAAGATGATAAAAAAAAAAATGATTTTAATAAGATTTAAGATTTAGGGTTAGAACTTACGGAATTGGGGAATAGGGATTGGGAAGCGGGACTAATCGGAAGCGAGAATCCATGGTGATCGACTGGGCGTTGATCGGCGGCTGGTGGTTGAACAAGATCTCTGTCTCTCACTCTCAAACCAAAGTCTGACTGCTGTCTTTTGTCCTAGGTCAACTCATTTTCTTTGTTTTTTCTCAGGGTTTTATTTACTTATATATTTAAAAAAAAATTAAAAAAAAATAAAACCCAAAAAGTTGAATTATTTATTATATATATATAACTCAAGTAGAACTTTCTTAGTTCTTCCTAAAATTTTCAAGTAGAGAAGTACAAGATTGTCAATCAAAGGAGGATTCCAAATAACTTACATACATAGTAATAAAAATAAAAAAGGTATAGAATAAAAAAGGTATAAAAAAGGTATAGAATAAAAGGCAACTTTATAGATTCGTCGATCTCAAATTAATTAATGCATTGTAGTATACTAGTATGGAGGCTAGTGCTTTTAAAGTGAAAGATGCCACCATCGATACAATCTATTAATGGTTGAAAATCAATCACTAGATTAGCATGACACATCCTCCTCCAAAAATTGTATACCCAAACTTAATTGTGGAGATCGATGTTCAAGCATGCACTAGTATGTTAAATTTCAATAATGTACTCACAAAAATCAAACTAAATGCCACATATTTATTCTTATATATATATTTAACAAAAGGGAAATTCATCACGTTTTTAGCAAACCATAAATAATACTCTTTTCGTCCCTAAATTACATTCCTATTTCTAGCATTTATTCCTCATAATATTATTGAGAAAATAGGAATGTAATTTAAGGACGGAGAGAGTACCTTAATACCTTATTTACATTAATATAGAGTACTTGTAAGTTGTAACAGTCCGCAACTCCTCTCGACTCTTCATAGTAACAAATTTGCTGTGACAACATTAGGCGTACCCCTAAAGAGGAGGAGAAACTATTAGTTCCCAAATAGATGATGCCATGGGAACTTGGAATACCCTTGCAATTGCATTCATTGTTCTTGCTTTATCCGCCTTCAAAATGATTCTGAATACCTTCAAGTTTATCGAGTTCTTTAACAGATATACCAGCAGTATAATATCAGATTATCATTATCATCCAATTCAACCAAGCTGATGTTAACAACTTCAAGTGTTGGCATTTGACATTTGGGCAACCAAGTGGGAAGTTGTAGTGGTAGCCGTGTTGGGTCTTCCTCCGCAAGTGTGTAAATAAAGCCCTGAAATTTCAAAAATAGATTCGGTCTAACATTATTAGCAACACTAGTTTTGGCTCCGTGTAACGCACGGATTTATAAAGTATGATTTATTAATGATAATAATAGTCAATTGAAATAGCGTGAATTAAAATTGCCGTTAAATTTTAATAACTTCGCTTTTATTTTTTGAAAAAAAAAATTATTATGTCCATCCTTTAAATTCTTATGTGTCACAAATATATATATATATATATATATATATATATATATATATATATATATATATATATATATATTGTGAAGGAAATTTTTTCACAAAATTATGCAAAGTGTTCAACCGGTAATTATTTTAATATATAGTATAGATAGATTTGCGTACATTGGAAAAAGTTGGACTTACCTTGTACAATATTGAGTAATCAAGAGAGACGAGATTTGGGGCACGGTGCAAAATCCATAATACATTAATACTAGATACCGAAATGAAAAGCTTGAGCGCTTAATAAACATACCACCGTTGCCACTTTACGATCAAATTGGTCAAGTTTGGAAACAAGGGAAGTTGATCACGCTCAATATCTCCAATAGTACCCTTAAAACAGCTCGTCTTGTGTGCGGCCGGTCACACCGTGTGACCACTTAAAGTGTGGCCAGCCACATATAAGACTTTGTGAACAGCGAAATATTATTCTAAGTAGTAGGATGATTAGATTATACCTTTGTCGTAACATTCAATTCTAATTCATCAAGTTAGAAGCTTGTTTAAGGATTTCATGCACTTTTACATAGTAGTCGAAGTGAAGTCTAGCTTCAGCGAGAGAGGGCATATTGCCAAACTAGTAATCTAATGTTGAAAAAACGCCGTCAATGAAAAGATATTCAATACTTGGAGCAACTACTGTTATATTTTTTGAATTTCTCCGGAAAAAAATATACTAGTATTTCCAACAAGACTCACTCTCTTTAGAGAAGAAGAACAAATACATGTATTTTGCAATACACTGCACTTACTAATAACCAATTCTTCAAGCCGAGGTAAGCTCATCAAGAAATCCTTGAAAGAAAATTCATCCGTAAATTTAATGGATGAGAAGTGTAGGATTAATAGATTAGGTAGATGAAATGTATCCCCGGAGAGGGGAATTGAAACCCGTCAGCTTTAGCACGGGAAATTCTCTGTTTCTCATGGTGAGAAATGAAATTTGTTTCTCATGAGAGCATTTTCGTAAATAAATCAACATCTTTTTCATTATTGTGGGCTCTACAGTTGAATAAAGTTGTTGGTTTATTTACGAAAATGTCATGTGAGAAACAAAATTTGTTTCTCACCATGAGAAACTAGGGCATCCTCTCACTCGAAAAAGTCCCTGCTGGTAGTGTTCCACCCCCTAATTGAAGATCTATCTCAACAATATCCCGTCGCATTATATTCCTAATCCATGAATGATAATGGAGGAGCTTGACATATCTCCTCTTTGAGACACAATTAAGCTGAAACAGCCTTAATGAGGGTGAATCGTTACAGATCAAGACTCTATCCACAAACGCGTTGACACTGCTGATAGATTTCCATCTAATATTCAACGAAAAGTTTAGTGCAGGAACTTTGGTCCAAACAGATTCCCATCTTTTAGACAAAATACTTGTAGCAACAACTTCTTTGGTTGACAAAAACGATAAGATTTACGAGAGGAGGGCATGCGGCAAATTGCTAATCCTGTCTACCTGTTCATCCTCTGCCATTGTCAATTCTCTGCAGTGGACACTACAAAAAAACGCTTATTTACCGATGGGATTTACCGATGGCTAGAAAAATCCATCGGTAAAAAATTAATTTATCGATGGTTTAACTTAGCCATCGGTATTTCTCATAATACCGATGGCCTGGCTATCGGTATATTTTTTCCGATGGCTTTCTTCCATCGGTAAAATATTAAATTTTAAAATAAAATTTGAATTTTTTACCGATGGCTAAAAACCATCGGTATAAAATAAATACCGATGGCTTTTGGCTATCGGTATTTTACCGATGGCTATAAGCCATCGGTAATTTTTTTAAAAAAAAAATAAAAAAAAATCGAGTAAACCCTAAAAGCACCCCCTTCCCCTTTTCACTATCTTCTATCTTCTTATCCCACGCCTCCTCCTTCTCTCTCCTCTCTTTTTCTCTCTCCTCTCTCCTTCCCCCTTTTGCTCTTTTCTCCTCTCTCGGTTTCTCCTCTCACTTCCATTCCCAAGTTTTTTTTTTCTCTTTCTCATCTCTCATCTCTTCCTCATCTCGGTTTCCCCCCCCCCTCTCAGTTTTGTTCTTTCTCATGGTGTTTGTGGCTTTCTTCGACGGTGTTCGTGGGCTATTTGTGGGATTTTCGGCGGCATTTGTGGTGTTTTTGGTCTAATTCGACCATAAAAACTCCAGATCTGGAGTTTTTATGGTCGAATTAGACCATTTAAACCTTGAGAAATGAAAACAATATCTAAAGGTATGTTATTTGTGGTTGAATATTCGTTGGTTTTTTTTTCGTGGGTTTTTTCGTTGATTTTCGTGGATTTTATGGTTAATTTCATGGGTTTTGTGGTTGAATGTCTTATTTTTGTGGTTGATTTTCGTGGGTTATATGGCTGAATTATTTGGTAGATTTTCGAGGGAGTTGTGGTTGATTTTCGGTTGATTTTCGTTGGATTATTGTGGTTGATTTTCGTTGGTTTTTTTGGTTGATTTTTGTTGTTTTTTGGTTGATTTTCGTTAGTTTATGTGATTGATTTTCATGGATTCATTGTTATTTTTTTTTGTTGATTTTTGGTTGGTTTTTTTTGGTTGATTTTCGTTAGTTTATGTGGTTTTTTTTGGTTGATTTTCGTTATTTTATGTGGTTGATTTTCATGGATTATTGGTTTTTTTTTTGTTTTTATGGTGGTGGTGGTGGTTGCGGTGGCTGGGGACTTAGGTGGTGTGGGTGTTTGGCCGTGTGGGTAGGTGGGCAGTAGGGGATTGGTGGTGGGGGTAGGGGCAGTAAGGGGGTGTAGGGGTATGGGGGTAATAGGGTGGGTAGGCGGGTTTAATTTTTTTTATTTTTTTTAAAAATGATTACCGATGGCTAAACACCATCGGTAATATGAATATACCGATGGCCTTCCGCCATCGGTAAAAAAAAACCGATGGTTTAAGCCATCGTTATTTAAAAAATTACCGACGGAGCTTAGCTATCGGTAAAACCATCGGTATTATTTTTACCGATGGCTTTTCCATCGGTATTTTCTGATTTCCCGATGAATTGTTATCCGATGGCCAAAATACCGATGGCAGCCATCGGTAAACGTGATTCCGATGGTTTTTTATATGTTTACCGATGGATTTTGGCCATTGGTATTAGGCTATATTCTAGTAGTGGGAGGAAAAAAATAAGTAGAGAAAATTGCAAAGCGGAGATCACAAGTATATTGATAGAAAAATTGAATACAAGAATATATAGGAATGGAATATAGAAACAAGTACTAGCGATATATCATATCTATAACAAGAATCTATACTTACAGAGGATTAAGTTAAAGATGAATTGGAACAGACATTTGGGGTTTTATAGACTAGAAAAACTATTGGACTACCCAGTATTCATTAGGTACATCCGTACAGTGAATAACAGCTATCTTTAACTGAGATTGTCTTTTCAAATTCTGCTTCATCATCTTTTCAAATTCTGCACTCCATTGAATAATACTAGTATCAGTTTGACTGTAAAGCTCTTTTCCTCTCCTTGAAAAGTATAGTACTATATATAGTGATATAAAGATTGAAACTATCTATCTATAAAGATTGATGAATCTATCCATCTATCTATAAAAAAAACATTTATAAAAACGTCCGTGTGTCACATAGATTTTTACATGGGATTTGAACACCCAAATACTTATAACAAAGTTGTCTATTTAACCATCTTAACCTATTATCAAGTATGGAGTATGTTATAAATGTGACAAAAAAAATGTACATAAATGTAAACCACGTGATTTACTTACTAAAAAAACACATTCAATAATGTCGATTTTAAAATCCCTAAAAATGTATACAGAAATTTTTAAAAAAAATAGTCTTGTGATACTTTAGTATAGATAGATTATCAAACAACTTTAATAAAATAACAATTCTATCTAGAATACAACTATTCTACAAAGTCTTCTATAGGGATTAGAAATTAGATTTAAGATTAACATGGCAACAAGTGAACAAGAAAGCTCAATTAAACTTAATGGTGATTTTTTTTTTTTTTAAAAAAAAAAAAAATCTGATTTTAGTAAAAGTTGGCAATTAGGGTTAGAAACTTAGTAGTTACAAAAATTGTGAATTAGAGAAATCGTCAAATCAGGAAATTGTGATTTTAATAAAACAAGTGTTTGAATTAGGTAACAATTTGCCAAATACTGCTTGTCTAATTAGTAAAATTCAGAATTGTCTAACTAGAACTAAGTCTTGCATTCAAATACTAAAGAAATTCCAAATTAATTAAGCATTTTATTAAAATCTACTAAGAACTAAGGATTTTTATGAAACTCATTAATTTCGCAATCGATGCAGCAGTACAAATTCAATCAACCAAGACTTTTACCTTCAAAATTAATTTAAAACAACTACAATTAATCTTTTAAATTACGGGAAAATGAAAGAATCAAAATTGAAAGGAACAAATATAGGGTGTGAATTTGCTATATCTGAGTTGCACAGTAGTTGATTTGTGTGTGTGTGTGTTGGGGGGAGAGAAAAACAGATAGATTAATAAATAGTTTACCCCGATCATACCCGGGCAGAGATTAAAGTTTAGAGTCTCCACTCTCCAGGCTTCAGCAGAAGTAGTTTCGAGTTTGTCCAAATTATAAGCATTAATACAGACCGGGAGAGGGGTAGATAAGTAGAAAGTTTGGTAACAAAATATTTATTCCTTAGCCAAAATACTTCTAGCTTGTTGGTAGTCCTTTCCTCAAAAGATAGCTTAATTTACGACACGGTTTTAAGCAAATCCCTGCAAGTGATGACATTAGATGTTAGCTTTCAGTTATGTTGTTGTAATGTTATTTTTACACACATAATCAGTGGAATCCCAATTTTATAACAAAATTTTTAAAAAAATAGACGACATACCTTGCATTAAGGAGGAGAAACTATTAGTTTACACTCGGATGAGGCCCTGTGAACCTCGTTTAGCCATCCAATTATTTCATTCTTGTTGTTCTCATCAACCTTACTACCCTTGAAATTGATTCTGACCATCTTCAAGTTTACAGCATTGTTCAACAGATATTCCAGCAGTATTTTATCAGCATCGGCGACATCCAACAAGGTGGCGTTCACAACTTTGAGGGTTGGAAACATACATTTGGGTAAAGTTGAAGGTGTTGGTAGCTGGGGAAGGAATTCCTCTAGCTCTAGCTGACCTAGGAGTGTTAGAAATCCTCCCAAACGTATATTTTTGCTTTTGCCAGCTTCACTCTGAAGTACCAAGGATATTAACCATTGAAATTATTGGAAACATTCGAGATTAATTAAAATAGCAGACTTACCGAGAAATCAAAAGAGACGACATTAGGAGCACATTGCAATATCCATAGCACAAGATATCGCCATGAAAAGTTTGAGCAGTTGGTTGAACTAAAGTCATAGTCCACGATCACATGGCTCAAGTTTGGAAACAAGGGGCCTCGATCACGCTCAGTATACCCAGGAGCAGGCTAAAAATTAATTAGATGCAAAACAAATTAAATCAGAAAAATTCTATTAGATATTAGTGACAGAATTAGGAGTAAATTGGAACATAACCACCTAAAACTGAGCCCCGAATCTAAATTAGCTTAAAGGGTAAACTAGATGGAACACCAACAAAAAAAAATAGTGATAAATAGCATAATGAGGACCAATAGACTAAATTGGTAAATAAAAAAGACCCTTAGCGATAATTTGGTAAAAAAAACTAACCTTAAGCGACAGTTTGGTAAATAAAATAATCTCATGCGACAATTAACCCAAAAAAATACAAAAATCTCCGATAAATTACTTGCGAATGCTTAATTTGGTTCGTTTATCTTGTTTTTTTACCAACCCTTTTTATGGAAATAACAATTTGAAGAAAAAAAAAACGTTAAGTATCAATTTTCACTTAAGTTTCATACCCCTTATAACGAATTTTTTTTAAAAGGGGTTAAAAATAAAAGGGGATGACATATAAATTCAAAATTATAAATGGGAAAATAAATTTAAAAACACAAACACAAATTAAATTACGATTTTAAAAGAGTTTGTCGAGAAAAAAAAATAGATTTTTTGGTCTAAATGTCGCCGGAATTCATTAATTTTACTAAATTATCGTATATTGTTAGTTTTTTTTACCAAATTGTCGTCGGAGTAAATTTTTTTACCAAATTGTCGCTAGAGGTATTTTTTATTTACCAATCTGGTCAATTGGCCGCAAAATAAGTTTTACATTAAAAAAAATGTAGAGTATATTGCTTACCTTTTTCGTTGCAATATCTAATTTCAAAGTCTTGAGGTTAGGAGCATGTTTAAGGAGGCTAATCAGTTCAACATCATAGCGTTCCTTAGAGCCAAGTCCGACATGAACTCTAGCTTCAGTCAAAGCAGGCATATCTTCATATGCATACTTAGAAAATTGGCCATTATAAATCTGAAGGTATTCTAGTCTTGGACAATCTATTATATTCTCTTCTTCTTCTCGAAACACCATTTGCTCAATGATTTCCAATCTCTTTAGAGAAGAAGAACAGATACACATATTTCGTGCTCCCAAGCACTCAAATAAAACCAATTCTTCAAGCAGAGGTAAGCTCATCAAGATATTTTTCAAGGGCAAATCGTCAGTAAATCCAATGAATTTTAAGTGCAGAATCAAAAGACTTGGTAGATGAACTGAACCCCGAAATGGGGTTATTAACCCAAACAACTTCAGCACCGTAAGTTTCTTACTCGAAAAAGTCCCAGCTGGTAGTATTACCCCGACATGTACAAGATCTATCTCATCAACATCCCGTCGCAATATATTCTTAATCCATGAATGATAATGGTAGTCCTTGATTTGTTTCTTTGATAAGCCAGAAAGCTTAAAAAGCCTTAATGAACTCGAATCATAACAGAGCAAGACTCTATCCACAAACGCTTTGAAGTCATGGACAGAACCTGATGAATTAAATGAAAAGTTTAGCGCAGGGACTTTAGTCCAAATGGATTCCCACCTTTTTGATAATGTGCTCGTAGCAACTGCTTCTTTGGTTGACAAAAACGATAAGATTAAGGAGAGGAGGACATCCGGCAATCTGCTAATCCTGTCATCCTCGGCCATTGTCAATTCTCTGCAGTAGAGAAAGAAAAGGCTTAGAATATTTTTCTCTTAAATTCAAGAATATATATGAGAGAAAAATAGAAACATGTACTAGAATCTATAAGAGGACAAGATTAGATTAAATTATAAAGATAGATCCCGCTAATAAGCGCCAATTTAGTTCTAGATATTTAATTATATTATAACAAAACAAAAATATCTATATAATTTTTAAAGTAGCATATAGTATCGCATTTAATTCACTTCCTTTTTCATAATTAACCATGCTAGCATTTAAATTACTCCGTATTTCTTTCTCGGTCTATATTGATATATTCCTATATTGTATATCACAAATTCTTGATGCAACCCCAAAACCTACCACCAATCACCACAGACGACTAACACAAGGGTGGAACCAAAGAGAGGTGGTGGAGGCCCGGCCCCGTGGCTCAAATGCTAAGTCCTTGATTGTCAAATTTTATGATAAAAATAAAATTTGATTACAAATATAGTTGTGTACTCTGTAGCTTAGCGGTAAGTGACACCCATGCACAACAGTATGGATGTCCTTGGTTTGATTCTTGTTGGTTGTCTACCCCTTCAATATTCTACTTAAATTTATTCCAATTTCACACCAAAAATATATATATATATAAAATTCCTATGTTTATCTTCATTCTTGTTAGCTCACATATATAAGCCATTAAGGCAATACGTATATAATACAAATGTAGAAAGAAAAAATCAAACCTGTGACATAGTATACAGGCTCTCAATCTTAATCACTAACTAAGATTTTGGCTATGAGTTAAGAACAGTTTGTTGAAATTAACTATATATTATATTTTCTCCTTTTTTATTTAATTGTAATCCATCAAAAATTTTGTACTTATTAGCATATTATAGAGATTTGACCATTGATATATGTAATAGTTAGTATCTGTTATATAAACAGTTTATTTGAATCATACATTGAGTTTAATCATAATACGTACAATCAATTTATTTTATTACATAATAGTAATTTTATTTTATAAAAATATATATATTGTTAGTAAAAAAAAGATCAATACTAATGGAAAATATATAACCAGTGTAGAAAAGGCTATAATATTTCAGTAAATATTAGTCTCGACCCCATATCTTTAAATTTCTGGCTTCGCCCCTGGACTAGCACCAACTTTCATCTCCTAACACATCACTACCTCTAGACAGTAGACACCACAACAACCACCACCCGCCCCCTCCATAGTCCCAACCGCCAATACACAACCAGGTCACAAAAAAAGGGCCCTCTTTAATTTCATACATGGAAGCACCGCATCATTGGGACAACAATAATCACTGCTTCGCCATCAATTATATTACAAAAACCCTATCAAAAAGTTATGATTATGATAATCTACAACTTGATGCTTTGGGTGTTATTTTCGACGACAAGATTTTGATAGTATTTGACAATAATTTATTGCAGTGGCTTAGCTTGTAAAAATGAAGTTTTTTTTGGGTGAAAGGTTTTTTTTTTTTTTTTTTTTAACAATATAATAAGATCGTAAGAATGAAGTTTTTTGGGGGGAAAGAGAACCAGGTAACAGGGAAGGAGGGAAGGAATCAAGGAATGACTGACTGAGGAGCATTAAAGCTCCATTTGTATTAACAGAAAATAATTTATTTTTTTTGAAAAATAATTTTTCATGAAAAAAATGTCCAAGAGAAAACACAATTGTAAAAATAGTTTCCTTTGTTTATATACTTACCAAAGCAAACTTGTAAAGGAAGAGGGAATTAAAAGTGGAAGGGAGGAATAGAATGACATGCGAGATATGAGATGTAAGAAATTTTCTGGAAAATGTGACATACTTTCATTTTAAAACAAATAGAACCTAAATGTAGGCTACAATTATATTTAAGAGAAAATAAATATAGGCTTAATAAACATAAGTAATACAAGTAGTAAAAATGTCATTTATTGCTAAGGAAAATACATAACTAATTAAGTTAATCTTTTACAGTTCCGCTTTTATTATGTCAACCTTTTTTGAGCACGTCAACGTTTTTTAATTGGAAGTAAATCCTTTATAATTTCTGAAATTTTGAGATAAAATTTGGCATTTAACTTCAACGGCAAACTCACAATCTTCTTCTTGTCTCCATTCTTCCTTTCATAACCATTAAACATGCTCACTCCTTACGTATGCTCACACTAGCAAACCCCAAAACCACATATGCACACCACCAACCCACCACAACCAATCCACCTCTTTTCTCATCATCCTCTTTGAATCACACTTGAATTTTAAATCGAATTATTAGGGGTTATTTTTTCAAGGGAGGATTGAATATTAAACAACAAATTACTATGGCTTTATTTTAGCGTAATTCTGAAATGAGAAAAATGAGGAAGAATGGGGAAGAAGAACAATGAAAAAGGTGTAATAGTTGTGGATTAAAAACAAAAAAAAAGGACTTTTTACCTTCATCTAATATAGTCCACTTAAGCGTATTTTTTTTTTATTATTTTTTTCTGCAAGCCATTTTAATTTAAACGTGATAAAATTTAATGATATTACAAGGTTAACGTGTTCATAAATAATAAAAAGGTGGTTAACTAAATAAAAGCGGACGGCCAAAAACTTGACTTAATATTTACAAATTTTCCTATTGCTAATTTTTTTTTATTATGATTAATTCTCTTTAACCAACGTCAAATACGTAAGGGAAATGAGTCAAATGACAATTAATCTGATAATTAAAAAAAAAATTGTGACATTCAAATGAAATAAGAAAAGCAAAAAAAATTATGTGATCATTTGAAATGTCCTAATTAAATTGAAAAATATCAATCAATTATTTAATTGTAGTCAAAACCCTATCATACAACAAAACAAATATATGATCTAACTCGTCAAACAACCTAACAAAACCTAAACGATTAAGAATTTACAACTCTAACAATATAGGGCTTAGACCTTACAAACAATCAAACTTAAAGATGATAACTTGGAATAATTAAAAAAATGATTTTAATAAGATTCAAGATTTAGTGTAAGAACTTACGGAATTGGGGAATAGGGATTGGGAAGCGGGACTAATCGGAAGCGAGAATCCATGATGATCGACTGGGCGTCGATCGGCGGCTGGTGGTTGAACAAGATCTCTGTCTCTCACTCTCAAACCAAAGTCTGACTGCTGTCTTTTGTCCTAGCTAGGTCAACTCACTTTTTTTTTGTTTTTCTTTTGTCTTTTTCATGGGTTTTTTTACTTATATATATTTTTTTTTTAAAAACAAAATAAAAAAAAAAGCCAAAAGGCTAATTATTCATTTATTACTCCGTATTATTTTTTTGTAAATCAAATAGTCTCTATATTTTATTACTTGTTCCAATTTATTTATTAATGAGCAAGAGAAAAATAGTAGAAAGTAATACGTATGAGTTTAATCTGATGGAAATAGGGTTAGTTGAAGGGAAAAAATCTAAAAAAAAACAAGTAGAAAGGAGAGATAATATGGAAAAAAATATTAAATATATAATGTGAACAACCATAGTGAGAAAATGAAGCAGTAATAAAAACGGGCGCCAAAAAAAAATAGAGCAAGTAATAAATTACGGAGGGAGTATTAGATTGTCCATCGAGGATTCCAAATAGGAAGTATGCACTCTGTGTAGTAATAAAAATAAATATAAAACTAAAGAGTAAAAAAGGCAATTTCATGGATTCTTAGATCGCAAATTAATTGTTACGCTGAGGTACGGAGGTTACTAATTTTGAAACAAAAAATACACCACCATCGGTACTAGTATTTTGATGAAAATGACTACGAAGTCTAAAAAATCTAAATTGAAGGCTAAAATTTAAATTCCTGGTGGCCTAAACTGTAAAAGGCATCTGGCTTATCATGTGTAAACTTCAAAATATCATCAACGACATTACTCCCTCCGTTTCAATTTGTTAGTCCCATATATTATTTTAGACGTTTCAAAAAGATCTACCCATATTGAATGTATATATTCTACTTTTAACTTAATTTTTATTTCCTATTTTATACATAATAAATTCTGATTGCTTAGATTAATTGATTGTGAATTATTCCCGTGATTTTTACAATTATGGATAATGTTTTCCTAAAAAAAAAAAAAAAATGAAAGGCAAAACTATTTGTGAATTGTATTTTACTTTAATGCTAGCTTCCAAATATTCCCCTTTTCTTATTTTATGTGATTGATTGCATATGGGACTATCATATTGAAACGGAAGGAGTATTATTTTACAACATAAAATCAACAATTGGGAAATTTAACAAATTTTTAGCAAAGCGGAAATAGTAGTGAACTAGATACCTAATATACAGCAAAACAAATCCTCCTGATTTCTAGCTAGTAGCTAGTTTCTTACAAAAAGTAATAAGTTTTTTTTAATCAGAAATTACGACTAGTTTACTGGTTTACATAAGAAGTAATTACACACAATATGACAATTAAAGACTAATTATAATCAAGAACAAATCAATCACAAATTTTGTTATGAGACGAATATTTTTTTGATGCACAAACAGAAATATCAATTTTTGGATATTCTTTCTTGTTTCTTGTCTAACCAACTCTTCAAGAACTTATCAACATATAAAAGCACTTTTGAGTACAAAATTAATCAACAGGTATTATTATGCATCCACAATAATTACTTGGCGATCATAAACATCCCCAAATGGGCAATTGGTACAACAAATTTAGTTTGGAGAAGATATGAAGATGTGATCAGATGCCCACACCTTCATACAATCATAATCTTCCTGCTTTAGTAATTTTCCATAACAAATTGCAGTACTGCCTATCTTACCAATGGTTAACAGTCAACAATGGAAGCGAACAAAGATATATAATGGAGAAATATTCACCGTTTACTTCCCTCAACTAATAAGCTAGGCTTGTAATGGAGAAATCAAAAATAAGGAAATTGGGAATACGCCCTCTCTTTCCCAGAAGGATCTATGGCACAAACTAAATATCTGAATTGAAGGATAATATTTCCTGGTGGACTACACTGTAAAACTGTAAAAGTAAACCGAGACATTTCCAAAGCATCATCATCATTTTAGTACAAAAACTAATAGCTTGGAATCATAACATTTTGAATGAAGCAAAAAAGGCTGCAAATCAGATAGCTAAATAGCTAATATACTGCATTTTGTAAATACTTCTAGGGTAACATTAAATCCTCTCGATTACTACTTACTAGATAGTTTCTTATCAAAAAGTAAGACATTATTTTTCATGAGAATTTACTAGTATACATACAGATGAAGCCCTCGGAACTTTGAATAGCCCTGCAATTGCAGCAATTGTTGTTCCACTAACCATACCTTTCAAATTGATTTTGAACACCTTCAAGTTTATGCCATTGTTTAACAGATATTCCAACAGTATATTATCAGCATCCGCCAAATCAAACAAACTGATGTTGACAACTTCAAGAGTTAGTAAAGGGCATTTGGGCAAACAAGTTGGAAGTACTGGTAGCCGTGGTAGTTCTTCCTCCACAAGTCAGTCGTAGTATGTGCTCTGAATGAAGTTTAATAATAGATTCGGTTATAAGCAACATCTGCATACGTAAAAAAAAAATAACAGGACTTACCGAGTAATCAAGAGAGACAAGATTAGGGGCTCGTTGTAAAATCCATAATACAAGATGGCGCCGTAAAATTTTTGAGCTGTCGGCTGAACCAAAGTCGTAACCACTTATGATCAAACGGGTCAAGTGTGGAAACAATGGCTGTTGATCATGCTCAGTATCTCCAATAGTAGCCTTAGAGTTCATGAGACGGAAAACAAAAATAGAAAGTCCATCAGATAGATATAGACAGAAAAACTTTGAAAATTTCTAATACAAGTAAAAAGTAGGATAAAAAGCTTATACCACTATTGTCGCAACTTCTAATTCCAAAATCACCAGGTTAGGAACTTGTTTAAGGAATTTAAGCACTTTTACATAGTAGTCACCTTTACAGTACCGGATTTGAAGCCTAGCTTCAGCTATAGAGGGCATGTTGCCAAACTCATAGTGTGGTGAATAACCGTCGATACAAAGATATTCAAGACTTGGAGCAGCAACTATTATATTGGAATCATTTTCTCCCATCGAAAATATATTTCGAATGAGACTCAATCTCTTTAAAGATGAAGAACGAATACATATATTTCGCAATACCTTGCACTCACTAATAACCAATTCTTCCAGTCGAGGCAACCTCATCACAATATTCTTCAAAGAAAAATCATCTGCAAATTTAATGAATGAGAAGTGTAGGGTTACGAGATTCGGTAGATGAAATGGATCTCGGAGAGGGGAATCGAAACCCTTCAACTTTAGCACCATAAGTTTCTCGCTCGAAAAAGTACCTGCTGGTAGAGTTCCCCCCTGTAACACAATATCTATCTCAACAACATCCCGTTGCATTATATTCCTAATCCGCTGATGATAATGGTAGTCATTGATTTTCTTATAAAATATGACAATAATCCGAAACAGCCTTAATGATCGTGAATCATTACAGATCAAGACTCTATCCACAAACGCTTTGAAGTCTTTAGAAGAATCATAAAACAGTGAAAAGTTTAGCACAGGAACTTTGGTCCAAACAGATACCCATCGTTTAGACAATATGCTAGTAGCCACAGCTTGTTTGGTCGACAAAAACGATAAGATTTCGGAGAGGAGGGCATCCGGCAAACTGCTAATCCTGTCTAATTGTTCAGCCTCGGGCATTGTCAATTCACTGCTTGATGAGAAAAGAAACATCAAGTAAATTACAAAGCAGAAATTACAAGTATACTGTCAGACAAATAAAAACAGAAATTTGAAAGGAAAATATATATATAAAAAAAAAATCTTTACTTACAGAAATTTGAGTTTATGATGTATTGGGATAGAAGAACAGTTGAGGTTTTATAGACAAGAAAAGCTTTTAGACTACCCAGTGGAGTATGGATGGTACCAGTATTACAGCTATCTTTACAAATATACTGTCAGACAAATAACAGCTATCTTTAACTGAGATTGTCTCTTCAAATTCTGTTTCATTGAAAATGTTTGGATTACTATCTACGGAGTATTTTACTGTAAAACTCTTACACTTCCCAAAAAAAAAATGAATACATGATTTATACTACTCCGTAGGTTGGTGCAGTAGTAATTATTTCATGGGAATCTTAAAATGATTAGTTGCAATATGCATGCCTCAACAATTTAGTACAGAACTGTATAAATTTACTAGTACTTTCTTACCCCTCCGTCCCCTTTTGATAGTCCCTTATGGGTATTTTTCACGGAAATTAATAAACACAAAAAAGAATAGTTAAAGTACATTTAAAAAGTAAATTGACATTGTGTTTGCAAAAAAATAGAGAGAGAAAGTAATACATGGGAAAACAAAATTTACATGGGTAAGTTAAATTTGCACAAATATTGTTGCAAATTGAGGTAATTTTGGTAAAAAATTAATATTGATAGTTGTTGAAAAAAGCAAATGGGGTGAACATTTTAGTATTAAAATTTGTCCATCGGACTATCAAAAGGGGACGGAGGGAGTATTTGTTATGTGAATTATAAATACATTTATTGATAAATAAGATTAAAGTACGACAATTAATCATACAATAACATTTTTTTAAAAAAAAATTGTTACACTCAAATGAGATAGGAGAAGCCGAGCCTGAATACACTGAAGAGCAAAAGGCCCCAAACCCCCAAATGCTAAGTAAAGAAGTACTATCCATTATCCAACATAATTTTGTTGAAGGAACTACCCAGCCAAGTGCAGATAGCTAGATACTAAAATAACATGTATGAGTAATTTGGGATGGAACGAGTATATACATGCAAATTAAAGAAGCCAAAAAGCCTCACTGCAGTATCATGGACAGTTTAATCAAACATCTGTAATGCTGGATGATATAAGAACAACTTTCAATCACATCCAGACATTGATATTAATTAAAAGATGTATGTCACAATTTAACTGGATATAATCCAAGTACAGTACAGTTTAATCATTTTAACAGAGATGTTATGCATCACAATTTACACATAAGCCAGGATAGAGTGACAGACATCCAGAAATTCATGCCAGTATATCCAAGAAGAAAAATATTAATATATCCCCGAATTACTCCCATCCATATCTATTAATTGCGCAAAACTCTGTATGCAAATAATTGCAAAAGCATCCAAGCATAAAGGTTAACATGACTCAAAAGGTAAGACCAATCCGGCTTATTTAGTAGGTATGGCAACTGAGAGTTCATTTTCAGCTTCATCATAATAGTCACATGCTCACATCCTACACCAGATATTTTACATCTTCAGGCAGGAAGTTAGATTAAGATTCCTAAACGAGATTCTCAAATCATAGAAACCAAATATTCAGGTATTTGCTGAAGAAGGGTTTTGCACTCTTGCACCATTCATCATTGTTCCTAACAAGTCCTCAATACTGAAAGAGTATAAGCAAGTCTTATCCATTTTCAGGAAACATCAAAATAACAGGTTATATGAAAAGAAAAAAATTGTTAACAGAATTTCAATATACAAAGGCTAGAATAGACCCGGTCTATAATAACTTATTGTAGACTCAACCTTCTTGTATACCATATGAATGTGATTATATCATACGAGATGTGATTATATTACTACAAAAGTGATTATATCATTTTGAAACTATTATGTAAATGTATAACTCAAAAAGTGAATTTATCATTATAAAAAGTATCAAATAGTAAATTACATCATTCAAAACATGATTTTTAAATTTTATCATCCTAAAGATAATTATATAATCTCATTAAATGGTTTAATATAAGATTATATAATTCAAAATATGACTCACAAAAAGATAATTATATCATCTAAAAAAGTGATTATATCATCCAGAATGTGATTATATTATTTGAAAGTGTCAAATTTTGGGTCTACAATAATTTATTGTAGACCGGGTCTATACAAGACCAATTGATTTCAATAACCTTCTGACTATAAAATTTAATACTAGAGTCTCAATCAGAGGAAGATTAGAATACTTGATAAAATATCAGACAGAAAATCCAGGCAGATTCAGATGTATTAAAAGACAAACACCTTTCTAATTTATTCAGGTCATGTACTCGAACAATGTCATTAGACAGCATAGGGAATAAGGCTTCTGTAATCTCTCTGAAGTGATTACACACAATGTGACAAGTAAAGGCTAATTATTATCAAGAACAAATCAATCACAAGTTGTTCATGAGAAGAAAGTTAGTGCGATGCACATAGAGAAATGTAATCTCTTGGATTTTCTGTTCTTGTTTCTTCTATAACCAATTCTTCCAAAACTTATCAACATAAAAGTAATTTTGAATACACTAATCATCAATAGGAATTAATAACTTGCATCATCAATAATCAAATTCATAATAAACATCCCCAATCAGTACAATAAATTTAGTTTAGAGAAATGATAGGATCAAAAGATGTGATCAGGTGATGCTACCCACACCTCCTTCGTACAATCATAATCTTCCTGCTTTAGTAATTTTCCATAACAAATTACACTATAGCCAATCTAATCAATACATAACACGTCAACATAGGAAGAGTCATAATTAGAGCTTAATATAAAGGAAACTAAGACAAAGGATGAGTTTAGATCATACTGTATATCAGCATGGTTGAACAACATGAGCAATTTTAGCACTTCAACAACGTCAAATGTTTTCTGCTTTCAAGCTTCAAAATGACTTAACTAACAGAGAAAATCCAACAATTAGAAACCCAGCATAACATTGTCCGGAAGTTCTCAAGATCCACGCATAATTTTACATGCAGTAGAGGCCATAGGAATTTTAAATAGCCGTGAAAAAGAATCAGCTGCCATAGTTGAGTTCTTCTCGAAATGGATCCTGATAGCCTTTAATACAATTGCGTGTTGTAAGATGTATTCTACCACTGCATTATCAGCAAATGTTCCTCGAAAATTATCAACATCTATAGCTTTTAGAGTTGATGAGAAACACTTGGGCACAACATTTGGAAGTGGAGGTGACTCTCCATTGTGAGTGATTCAATCTAAAATTTCAAACAAACAAAGACTATAAATTTATGTTTAATATTGGTGAAGCAAGCTTAGATTGAAAGATAAGGTACTCACCTTATATTTAAGGGACACAAGATTTGGGGCGTGTTGATACATTTGAAAGAGCAGTATTATGTGTAAAATTTGCGGTAATCAATACATGGTTCTGACATCCAAACATGTCAATTCAGGAACAAGGGTTGCATTTGAGCATCAAACATTACAACCTGCAAACAAATATCCAAATAATCGTGATTTTGTCATACATTCTAAACTTTAACTTCCAAAAACATTGAAAAGTGCTGATCACAGATTTGTATATTTTAAAAAAAAAGACTAATTGATAATTCTCTAGTGTTGCAAAAAATAGTCTACATATAAGCATTATAAAAGTATTTACCAGGGGTGTTGGAATCATTAGATTCAAAGTCTTCATGCTGTGAAAGTGCTTGAGAAATTCAGCAGCACTTATACCATCTATCATTCCACAGATATCGATGTCAGCTTCAACTAATGAGGGAATGATAATGACAAACTCGCAGCATGAAACTTGATCCTCAATTGTAGAATTGGAGCTTCAATTATAACAAGCCCTTGCATCAGAAATAGAGTACCTGCTATTGTCAATCTCTTTAAAGAAGAAGATCGAATACATAAACTTTGCAATCCACGACAATAATATAGAAGGAACTCATTCAGACAAGATAAACCTGACCAAATATTATTCATAGAATCATCATCCTCAATATAACAGAACTCAAGGTGGAGAACCGAGAGATTTGGAAAGGAATACAAAAGGTGACTGCCTGTAAGGGGGCACCTCAGCTTTAGAACCTCAAGCTTCTCACTCACAAGACCCCTTGCTTCAGGGGTTTCGCAAGTAACATCAATCTCAAAAAATTTCATCTCATCATATTCCTGACCCATGACCAGACATGCATGTCCTCTTCAACTTCCTGGTAGAGGTGAAGGCGAAAGAGTCTTATGAAAGGTGCATCATTGAGAATCAAGACCCTATTCACAAAGGTTTTAAAATTTGAAGAAATTTTAGTCTTTGAATAACTAAATTCCAGAACAGAAACTTTGGTCCAAATGTATTCCCATCTTTTAGACAATATGCTTGCTGCAACAGCTTCTTTTGTTGGCACGAAAGATAGGATATGAATGAGAACATCATCTGGCAAGCTGCTAATCCTGTCTACCTCTTCAGTTTCCGCATTTTGGATGTTTTACTTCACACCAAAGAAAAGATTAAAAGAAGCACATAAATATATAAAGCGGTAAAAATCAAAAACAAAAAAAAAAAAAAAGAAATAAACAAGAAGAGATGGAAACAGAAATGAAATGTAAACACTTACCGAGCTTTGGCTGACGGCTTAATAGCTGGAGTGTAACAACATTGATAAATATATAGAACTACATTTGTATTGAGATAATTAGTTTAATCTTTAGATTTTTATAGGGAGAAATAACAAGGACTAGAATAAACTCATCGTATAGCAGCTAACAATAATTACAATTGCCTCATTGAGTTCTTATAATACCAATCAACTATCTAGTTTCCCAGAAAATGTTTTTTCTTACTTTCCCAAGCGTAGAAGTGTAAGAGTCTCCTGAATTTAATGAAGGAAACATGTTGTAATAAGACTAGTAAAAACAAATGAACAATTCTCCAATGTTCCATGGCTCCAATACTGAAAGGCGGAAGCTCCATGAGAGCTGCCCCTGACAGGAACCAAAATCTAAATGACAAAGTACTGAAAATCAAATAATATTAATGTAAATTAAGGGGTCAAAAACTAGAGGTTTATCTTCCAAGTTGTATGTAGAATTGTAGACAACAAACCAGTAATACATACACAAATTGCCAGAAGACATGATCTTCATCTGGAGTTCTGGACAATTAAGAGCTCACTCAACCAATCACCTCTACAACCTGGACAAAACAAGGTGAGCCCTTGATAACATCAACAAGAAACCCATTGAAGGAAAGTGACGGCTACATCAGACTTGTTAATGATACATACACTACTTTCATTCATAATATGGAATGATACACACCTCAAAAACTAACCCCCATATCGCTGCAGCAGTTGCTAGCTAGGAGACTAGAACTCCCGACCCCCACAGGCCACACCCCAAAATAGAATAATCCAAAACAGTTCATATCTCTACAACAAAATACATGAAGATGTCTTTCATTTTAAAACTATTTAGATTTCAAATTACTGTAGACCAAGTATTCAGACTTTTAAACTGTGCGACTGCACATGTGATATATTAGTTAACACATAAGAAAAATTATCTCAATGTATTTTAATCCTTCATATTAATGCAAAATATCTTAAATCAGGAACAATATCTTCTACAGAAAGAAGTTCTGCATCATGCCTTTCCAAAAAAAAAAAAAAAAAGGTTCCACATCATACTTTAAGGAACTCCATCAACATTCACACCTTACAACCAGGGTGAATGAGCTAATTCATATCAGCAAACTTAAATTACTCCAAATTACAGCAAAAGAAACAACATAAAATGCAAGTTTCTCATCAAAAGATCTTCAAGCCAAAAAGCTAATCTTATTCGACGGGTGCAGTATATTTAAGCTGGCATTTGAGCATGAATGAACACTGACAATTTATTTTCAGCCTCTTTAGAACATTCACATCCTGCGCCAGATATTCCACATCTTCAGGCAGGAAGTTAGAATAAAGCTCCTGAATGAGAATACCCTTCAGATGAGATTGCAGACATTCAGGCGCAGCCTCAGGAGGATTCCTGCGCATTTCTTCTACATCCCTTAAAATTCCTGGCTGCAAGTAAAAACATTATAACTAAGTCATATTCTTTTCAGGGAAACCCTGGAGTAAGTAGCTACCATACATTCCATAAAACAGATTTCTGGGCTAACCTTATTATATAGGGTAAGAGCATCTAAATCAGGGGAGCATTTAATAAACTCCGTCACAACACTCACAAGCCGATTCCAGCCAAAATCAAGATCTAAACCAATGCCTAATGCCAACGTATTCATGTTGTAAAACCTTGGCAAATTTGAATAAGCGGTTGCTGTGCATAACAACTATCCAAGAGAAAAATGACAGTGTTAAGTATCATATCAAACCACATTAATACTTGTGTGATCACTATCAATAAGTAGTGAGTGAAACATTAATATAATGCATACAAATAAGATAACATACCTCAACAACATCAATAGACAAAGTAAGAAGCTTGGCATTTGCTAACCCTTTGAAGAAATTACAGATACGCTGATAACAATCATTGTAGTTTTCAGCAGCAACAGCAGTTTCGCGGAGATCCAGATGCACATCAGTCAAAGATGCCAAACTCTTCACCTCAAAATCATCTGATATACGACCTTTGACATGGAAGTACTGAAGATTTGGGGTATTGATGACAAATTTATAGGGGCAGTCTACTGATATGTCAGTCACAAATTTATAACTAAAAGAAATTTTTTTCAATGTAGGTATGGAAATATCTATCACCCTTGGCCTCTCCCTTATGATTTCTTCTATTACCAACTCTTCAAGAACTTGACAACCCAAAAGCAAGTTTTGAGTACACTTGTCATCTAGGTACAAAACCCTCCTAATTTCAAGAACCTTAAGCATAGGGAAGCATACCACAGAAGGGACAATAAGAGGCATGCGAGATAATTTCAATACAACAAGTGAGTTGGACATGAAAAAGTTCCTAGGATACTTGATAAGTTCTTTTGGAACAGACAGGTAAAAGTCAAGTTCGAGCTCTAGAATATCACGAGAAATGGCTACATTCAACCATGTAAGAATCGGAGCAACAGTATAATGACACTCATAAATGAGACGGAACTTTTGGATATGAGGAGTATCATTAAGAAGCAATACTCTATTTACAAATCTCTTGAAGGAGATCTCTGAATCCTTACTTCCATACATGTTGAGGAAAGAGAAAAAGTCTCGATGAAGGCTAGCATCAATGTCAAGCACGGGAACAGAAGACCACACGTATTTCCATCTAGTTGAGAAAACACTGGTTGCTACAGCATATTTAGTTGGGAGAAATGATAGGATGTGATAAAGGATGTCATTAGGCAACCCACTGATCCTATCTACACCTTCTTTAGAGCCGTTATCCATCAGATCAGCTTCTCTCACTTCTAAGGCAACAGAAAGAAAAATACCATGAATTAAAGCTCCTCAATTTAATTCTAGCATAGTATATAGTACTATGGATCCAGAAAAAATATATATATACAGATCATTCAATTGATAAATTACAAAGAAAAAAAATTGGGGGAGGGAGGGGGAGTTAAAAACTTATATCTATAAGCATAAAATCCAACAGTAACTCATGGTTTTAGGGATCCATTTGGCAGAATTAATTATTCATTACCAAGCAGAAGAGAGAGTTAACCTTTGGCAAGATGATATAGCCATTTAACCAGGGCTTTAGTTCATCTCTACATTAAAGTTTGGTGAATATGAAAGAAAAGGTTTATCTGCCTTGCTGTCTACAACATATGTTTCTGAATGATCAGAATTTCAGAGCAATCACAAAATCCATACTGCTCATTAAACCTCAATGCCTACCCATTCCAAACCCTCCCCAGAATGATAAAAATAAATTAATTAAAAGAAGATAAAAATTAAATTAAATACATAAATAAATAGATATAACAAGCAGGCAAAAAAAAAAACAAAAAAAAACCTTGCTTCACTGCCATCAGATCTGAACAACAAAATGCAAGCACAGCCAAAAATGAAGAAACAAAGGAATTATTTACAAAGTCCACAAAAATCTAAAGACAAAAAATAAATAAATGAACATATTGTCTATGAAAATTAGTATAAAAAAATTAAAATAAGTACTTATATTAATCTTCATAGTGATGGAAAGTAGAAGTTTTCATCAATATGTGAGAGCTGGAATCTCATTCTATCAACTTAGATTTGTGATTTATACAAGACTAAGTAAAAGTTTCATGAGATTATATCTAATTCACACACTAGAAATTGGACCAAAACAAGCAAAGTAAGAACTGATTTCCTACCATTAATGAATATGATTTTTTCCATATGCGGAGCAAAATCCATATATTTCCATGCATGTTGGATATTTTTTACTTCTTAGTATCCCTTTTAGAGAAATGAAAAACAATTTCCTCTGATTTTTTTTACTTGCAACATTTTTGTTTTTCAAGTTTCAATCAAACAACTTCAACGGTTAATATCTTTAATTATACATTTGTAAATTTTTAATAAAGTACACAGAGAGACAAATCTAAAAAGATCCCATATAACTATGTTTTTCTTCGAGTTAAAATCGCAATGTGAAATTGGAGTGGAGTATGCATACCATCCACTTCAGAAATGTTGGAAGTAAAAAAAAAAAAAAAAAAAAAAAAAAAAAAAAAAAAAAAAAAAAACGGAGGAAGCTATATTATACTTCCTATTGATTATAAAACTGTTATTTAAAATGAACAAGAGGGGAAAATATCTAAAATTCCACAAGTTTTACAGCATTTGAAAAAAAAAAAAAAAGAAAAGAAAAGAAACACGTATTATTTGACCAATTGCATAGACTTCCTCTTGTCTCTTAAATCCTTGTAATCATAGATCCATTAGTGGGGGAGAGGGGAGGGTGATCCATTGCCATCCATGGAATTTGAGACACAACACTTTGATACAAATTTAAAAGATGGAACAGCATTTGGCATGGATGGTACAGCTTTAAATTAAAAATTATCTGCACAGAGAATCATATATAACAAAGTTCTCAACCGCAGCAAATGAATTATCCAGTGAGCTAACACAAAGAAAACCCATTTTATAGGACAACATGATTAACCAGGGCCAAGTCTTAATTAAATGGCTACATACAAGGATCCATCACTGCACACTTTCTATTCTACGCCACCATCCAATCAAAGTGACATAATCTTCAGTCTGCATTGGAATTTCTCCAGCATTCCAGTGAAATCAGGATACAGCGTATTCATAAAGATTCGGGATTGCTTTTCTACTTGCAATTACGTGAATCAAAAAAGAACTATTCTGGCCTCTAGCTTGTTGAAGAGGGATAAAGGATGAAAATGCCAGATGATATATTTAACTAATCATGTTCAGGTTGATTCAACTAAATGAGCCAAAGCAAGGGCCAAATATCTTTTTAAAAAAAAAAACACTCAGCATCAGTTAAACTGAAAACGCTATTTGCAAAATAGCAGCTTCAAAGTGAAATTCAATTAAGAGAATGCAAACAACAACTGCATCAAGCAATTCAATCTCTAAGAATGATAATCCTTTAAGACCTATGACTAAGCCACAAACTTTGACCCACAAAATGCAACATAAATGAGTGAAAAACTATGATAAAGTAATGAAAGCCAATCAAAGCTTTTAAAAGGCGTATTGTAATGGGCAATAAAGGGGTAAATAACAAAACCATCAAAAACGCAATAGAGTAGTGCCATTAACAGGTTTTTTTTTTTTTTTTTGTTGAAGATTCACATGTCCAATAATTTATAGACTGAATTTATAAAAGAACATGACTTACTCGATCTTTTCTCCGGTAATATGAATTCCAATCCATCTGCAAAATGACGAAAATCATCTAGAGGTTGAAGACATCATAACTTCACAATAGCTTTGGGGCATTGGATATATTTAAGCGATACCCAAAAAGGTTGTAGTGTTGCACTGCTTATGAAGGAGGAAATTGTAAGTTTCCTCCACTCAATAGCAGTTTCTCAAGAAGTCCACCGCACCAATCTTACTAATCACACCACAAGAGGAGACGAATTGTGAAAACGTCAATGAGCAAACAGCAAAGGCATACACATAAATAAGCTCAGCTTTTAAGCATGAAAGCAATATTTTACGTCGACGATACAAACCCATTTTTGAAAACAAACCGAAAATGAGTGGTTGGAAACACAACTTTGATTATAGAGATAATGCAACTTATACCTTTTCGATATTCTATGATAATACAATCACACCAAAATATCCAAAACTATCAAATACTTCAGAAGAGGAACGAAGGAGAGATCACTATGTAAGACATACTATGGAAGCAAGTTTCATATTTAATTTAAAATCAAAACATCTATTCGCAAAATTATATAAGCAGTTACTCAAAATATCCCAATAGAGTGAGGATATACAATTTGCAGAATGTTAGAAATAATGATACCATTATAAATAAAGATTTAATCAGCAAAGGCAATTCTGACAGTATTATGCTCCGTACAAAACAGTTCGGAACCAATCATTTTATCAAACTTTGCATAATCCGCTACTGTAGTAAAAGATACCTACTCAAATGGATTATCCTAAAATTAGACAACAATTACATATCCTTACAACCTATTGAAACCTAAGAAGCAATAATAATTTCATAAAATAACATATCTCACAATTCCATTCCTGGCTGTATGTTTTTAAGAATGTAATTCCTAATTGAAATTAAGAAAAGACATAGCAGAACATCTTGGAGCATGAAGTGTAAGTCACTTGAAGCCATGATGTCGGATTTTCAGTTAAGCAACCACCTCAAACCTATTACATGATTCAAAAGGGGAAGAGAGGAATGTGAGTCTGCAACAAGGTAAAATAGGTAGTACGACACATGCAATGCGTACTTATGTGCTAGGTAAGACCATCAACATTCAAATCTCCATAAATGTATGCAATGTGCATTATGTGCTAGGTATGATCATCACTGAAGTGTCATTGAAAACCTACCAAATATGGAGGATAAAATGAGGCTTAGCTGACATTTGAAAAGATTCAAATCTAGAACTTCTTTTAGTAAATGATCCTTCAGAAAAGCATAAGCCATGCTCTCAGAGAGACCAAACTCCCATCACCACAGAGATGAAGAAACAATATCAATGAATATTTGTCATTCAGAGTCACCAAGCTGTTAAAGCGATGAACTCTATGAAAACCAAAAGGCCTCACTGAAAACACACTTGCCCGAGTGTTGCAGTAGAAATTGATTATGGACTATGTATTACTAATAGATGGAGCAAATTCATGCATTTATGTTGGCTAATATCAATCATGCAGACAGCCAAAGCAGAACTGTTTTCATCACTTAAGGTAAGGAAAGCATACAAAAGATAAAAGGAATATCCACAAGCTTATTTAATCCTCTATTATACCTATTTCCATCACTTAAAAAAGCATTGAAAAGATAAAACGAATATCCACAAGCTTATTCAATCCTCTATCATACCTGATTGCTTCTCCCAACAAAATATGTTACAACATCCCACAGTTTTTAATCAGATGAAGGCTTCCTTGTTTTTTGTTACACATCATCAAGCATAAACAGAAATTGAAAATCAAAGACCGCTTTCAAAATTTTAAGGACAGAGTAAGAAAGTAATGCACCTTATTAATAACATGTCTCATGTTCAAAAGCTTCATGTCATATATGAGTATCATTATAGTGCTACTCATAAATGGTTGCATGTGGCCATACACCATACTATCCAGAAGCTCAAACTCAGCTTGAATATGTTTGTTTCAGAGGTATTTGAAAAATCCGCCTTGGAAGGCTAATACCCTCATTGTATTTAAAGTATCAAGCTCTTCTCATATCGACCCTTCTCTTGTTTGCTTCATAAGGCTTAAGCAAGTAATGTGCCTAGATGAGAAACTGAGAATTACAATAAGAACCTGCTTTCCAACTGTCAAGTTTTTGAAGAGTCGTAGAAGAAAAGCAGCTGAGGGTGATGAATGAATCCGTACATTATAAAGAGTTGTAGTAAATTATAAAGTTTGACTTTTGGTAATAGATTTATGATCATTGTGAAAGTTGTGTTACCCATCTAAATCTTTCAATTGCCCAAAATATTGAATACTTTGTCTTAAAGAATTTGGCAACTTTGATCAATGCGCTTCTGAATCTTTACCAAACAGCTTATCCTGCAGATCACTATATCTATCTTCAATCACTATAGCACTATACAACAGGCCACCAATGGTGTAGCAACTTCATCTCCATGTAAATATATTGTCAAACAGTTGCTCATGATGAAATCTTTAGTTCTTTCCCTCATAAACACTAACAGCCAAGTGACCAAGATGCCAGTCGTGAAATAAACTCTGGAAACTTCCGTGCATACACATTATTAAAGATTTGATTCCACCAAAACAGGACCACATAAGCATACCATTTAAAGTCCCTGAATAAAAAATTACACAATGATGAATAACAATAGTTAATGCAACTTAATTAAAGTTCAGCATCAACAAAATTTTAACAACTTTGTTTCTCATTTGACAGAGGTACAATATGAATAAACTAAAAAGGCTTGACATGGATGCTCAATACTATTGAATTTCATTCGATGAAACCAAGCTGCAAATGGAAACTATAACTAGAATACATACATGATATACGCCAACAATCACGTGAGTCATCACAAACATTTAGTTGCATATCATTGATTATAAACCTATTCAGATACCTTTGACCCCTAATCATTAAGTGAAAATAAGTTCATTCTTTTTAACTGTAAGAAACAATTAATCTTCTTATCTATCGTAGCAACATAATCCAAAGAACAGAACGAGTTAGTGCAATGATTGTTTAAATTTCGGAAATGTGCATTATGCAACACTTAATCAAGTCTATTATGCCCCCTCCCCTAAAATATAATTTCCCAAAATCCGAAACTTTAGTTCATCACTCTTAGTTAAATTCATTGTGAACCCTTTTCTCAACTCTAACTTCAACCACTAAATTTTCATTAAGTCAGACTCCTAGTTTTTTAATTTTATTTTATGATTAGAATTATTACTAATAATGCTACTAACATCACTCTCAAAGAAATAATCAGCCTAATTTCAAACCAAGTAAATTGGAGTCTTCTCCTCAACAATTTCGACATAATCTAAGGCTCAATTTAGCAGTTTCAGATACCCATTAAAATTCCACATTGCCCAGATTACAACAATTATTACAGTGAAACTGAAAGATTTTCAATTAGGGTTTCGTAAGTGGAGTTTAATCAATTATCATCTGTCCTTTTACAATGGTGGAAACAAAAATTAGCCCAATATACTATCTTCAGAACTAAAAAGAACAAAAAAATTCTAAATTGGGCAAAAATAATTTACAAAAATGAAGAATGATTTCAGAAAAATACCAGAGAAATTGAAGAAGATGATGAAATCCATTATCATTTCCATTTTCGCCGCTATTTTCGCAAATTTTTGGTTTAATTCGATCAAAATTTGGGTTTCAAATATCTTTCTCTCGCTAAAAATGATCATGTAACAATGTAGTGGTAAATGGTAATGTAGTATACGAAGTACGAGTACAAAGTATACAATTTTTGTTTATGGCCGGATTGTTAGTTAAGCTGGGCCCTGATTGTTTTATTGACTTAAATCATGTACTCATGTTCATTACAAAGTACTCCGTTAGTGTCATATCAGTCAGTGTAAGGGTTTGTTATCATACATTGAAATTCAGTTCAGCTCAACTCAGCTTCTAATTTCCTACTATTATAAAATATTCATTTTAGTTCCGTTCAGTTCAGCTCAGCTCAGCTCAGCTCAGTTCAGTTCAACTGAGTTCAGTCAATGAAAACAGGTCCTAAGAGGAGTACAAGAATCACTTAATCAGTGTTATTGAGGTTATCTTGTTTTTTTAATAAGTGGTTACACGGTCTGACCAGCTACACCAAAGACGGGCTTTTGTAAAAATTAAAAAATTGGAGAATGTGTATTTTTATGCATATAGCTATTGACATACGTATTACTATATTATTTACAGAGTAATAATATTTTACTTTACTAGTGTATATATAAGGTTAAATTTTTTCTGAAATTAGATCATATCAAAAAAATATTATCTAGTGAAATAAACATAACCTTCATTTATTATTCTATTTCAGTTCAATTATTAAGTTTTGGTTAATTTGATTCTATTAATTTCAGTCATTTTTATGTCGGTAATTTCAATCGGTTCAACCTAGTCCTTATCAATTTTGATACCTAAAATTATAGTTCAAACCAATCTTTTTAAAACATGCATATACTACCATATAATTAATTATAAGGATATTACTGTATTTATTAAAGGAAAAATTGAAAAAGAGTAATCTCACGTTTGGTACATCTTTTCAAAATAATCCCACAGTTGCGTATTACATAAATAATCTCACCTTTGTACCCGAGGCGTTTGGTATGAGGGATAGAATAAAGAGGGATAAAAAAGGAGGATAGAGGTGGGACTAAATAAGTGGGATTAAATTTATTTTATCTCTATCCCTTGTTTGGTTGATTGGATATAGAAAGAGGATAAAGGCAGGGAATTGATATAGAAAAATAACATATTTACTATTGCCCTTTTATAATCATCAACCAAACGTTCTCTCTCCAAAAGAACCCACACCATTCCTCCAAAACTCCATTTTTTAAGCATAGTTTCCTTCCATCTTCCCCCTAACTCTTTCATTTTTCCCATTTTAATTTCACAAATTACTAACAAATTAATACTCCATCATCAAATTATCATCGATTATAGGTTTTTTTTTATGTTTCCTTCTTGATTTGTGGGGGGTGTCACTCGTTAGTTGCTGCCTTTGTTAACCACTGTTGTGGTGGTGGTGGTGGTTGTTGCTCTGCGTGGTGGCACTACTTGATGGAGTTGTCTAAGGTTGAAGATGATGGGTAGAATGGTAATTAGACACGAGAAGGATTAATCCTCATTCTTTATACCTGCTCCCCCCAATTACAAGATTCAAGGGATAAGAAGCAATTTAATCCCTATCCCATCCTACTGAAAAATTCAATTCCTTGTAAACAAACATGGGACAAAAGTAAGGAGAGATACCTTCTATCCCTTTTACCAAACAGCCGGCAATATTCTCAAAATGAGCCTTTCTACCTACAACTGTTTCAACAGGTAAACTTTTTGTTTTTTTTTCTTTAATTTATCTCTTCCCACCTAATCACCTCCTTTCATGGGAACTCCTCCATCACCACCATGGGTACCACTCCTCATCCCCCCCCCCCCAACCTCTAAACTAAACTAGCCCTAAGGGCATGCCATGCCATGTCATGTCCAAACCCTCCATCACCACCATGGGTACCACCCCTCACCCCCACCTCCGAAACCCAAAGGGCCTGCCATGTTCACACCCGAAACCACGACCTAACCCCCAACCCGAAAACCCGCCTAAATTGGAAGGAGAGGGAAGTCAGCCGATGTCTAGGAATGGCAGTGACAAGTCGACAACCCACGAAAACCACCCGATTTTGCTGATTTGTGGGTTGTATTGCGAATTATGGGATATCGGGATTGTTGTTGGGCTAATTTGTGCGTGGATGGTATTGTGTATTGGAGGTTGTGGCTGTCGGGATTATTGTTGGCCGGCGGTGGGTTGATTGTCCAACGGGAGAGAGTAAGATGCTAAAATTTGTGGGGTATGATGAAATGGATTTTTGCTTGTGATTCTTGTGAATCAAAGTCCGCCAATGAAGGGGAGAGAGTTGGACTCAGTGAGTCCAACGTTTTGGCTTTGTGTTTGTTGCAGTGGTGATTATGATAGTTGTGGACTTGTTATTGTCAGTGGCGGATCCAGGATTTTCGAGATAGAGTGTCACCATCAATTATTGATCATTTGTGAAAGTACAATTTTTTTTTTCCATGTCTCGTTCATAATTAATTTCAATCCAAAAATTATATATATATATATTTCATCAAATTGATTTCAATCCAAAAATAGGACACAAAAATTCATACCACAACCAAATACAGTACTTAAGAATTCAATTTTACAAGTCGAAAATACTACAAATAACATGTTATAAACAAATGGTACAATAAAATTATTATATTGAATTAACTTTATGATTTTTTAGTTAATTGATAAGCTTTATGGGGAAATATTAAAATTGGTTGTACAAATATAAGATATAAAAAGAGAAAAAAAATTATTAAAAAATTATACAAAAAAAAGTGAGATAACTTAAGAGACCAGTTATTAAATAAAACTGGTCTCTTTAATGAAAAAAGTAGCGCAATAGCAGCATCAAAGAGACCTCTTATATAAATAACAGGTCTCTTTAATATTTTAAAAAAACCACAACAAGTAGCAATAGCAGCATTAAAGAGATCGCCTATCTTAATAAGAGGTCTCTTTGATATTGTTTGTTGTTACCAATAGCAGCATCAAAGAGACCACCTATCTATAATAAGGGGTCTCTTTGATATTTTATTTTTAAAAAAAATACTGTGTCACCGGACCCACTATAACTAAAGGTGGGTCCGCCCCTGGTTATTGTTGCCACGGGAAGAAGAGGGAATCAGGGAAGACGGTGGTTGAGTCTAGCTGTTCTGACAAGTGGTTGGGTCCAGCCATTCCGGTGAGTGGCCGTGTCCGGCTGGTGAGCGAGGCAACTCTGACAAGGGAAGAAAGAAGAAGTGTTATTTTTTTGTTTATTCTTTAATTTTAAGAAAAATTATATATAAAACTCAATTAAAATTGTGACACTTGTCAAATTAATTTTTAAAAAGGTTAACAATTCAATCAACCGGTCAATAAATGAAAAAGAACCGGGGTACAAAGGTGGGATTATTTCTGCCTTGTGGAATTTGCAAAGGTTAAATTATTTTGAGAAGATGTGCTAAAAGACCAAAGATAGAATAATTCTTTTCAATTTTGACTTTATTAAATCATATCTTAATCTTAACATTAAAAAAGTGGAAGAATGCAAATCATATCCTTTGGTTCACCCTACACGCGCCTTTTTGCTCATCAGGTACGTTTCTCGCATCCGGTCGGGCACGTCTTCGGGCGCCAACCTTTGCTTCCCTCGCCCGGCCGGGCGGCTCTCTTGGGCCACTGTTTGGACTACGATTGGGCTCCAATTCTTCGGGTCAATCTGGGTTTTCTCTTTGGGTCTTGAATACTCAGTCCAAATGCCTCGGTATCAGATATATCGAGCCCTTAATCACCGGTTCGATGGCTCTAACCGGCCCTGGGCTATAAAAACTGGTCGTGCTTCTCCAATGCTCGTACTTGCTCCATAATATATTGGTAAAATGCTCCAAAAGTGCAAATCCCTGTAAAAGTCAACCAAATCTACGAAAACACTAGAAAATTAAACACCAATTAGTAATAAAAATGGTTCTAAAGAGCCAAAAACACTACTAATTACGACCAAGGGACGGGGGTAAAACACTATATAAAATAGACACATCACCATATATACGAAGTACTACCTCCGTTTCTTTTTAGTTGACACGTACTCCCTCCGTTTTTAAATACTTGCTCCATTTCTCTATGCGTGGAGTTTTTGGAGAAATTGGATAAAGTAATAAAATATGGAGGTAACGGGGTTGGTGGAAGAATAAAAAATTGTAAAAAACCAAAAGTAGTGGAGAGAATTGAAGGAGAGAGAATATGAAATTAATATTGTTGGGTCCATTAAGTGAGAGGAATTAATTAAATATTGTCAAAGCTTTCCAAATAGGGAAATAGAGCAAGTATTTAAAAACGGTCGGAAAAGGAAAGTGGGGCTACAAGTTACCTCACTTGCTTTTTCATTCTCTCTCACTCTCTCTCCTCTCCTTAATATATGTGCTTAAATCAAGCACGTCATTTACAAGTTACCTCACTTGCTTTTTCATTCTCTCTCACTCTCTCTCCTCTCCTTAATATATGTGTTTAAATCAAGCACGTCAACTATATAAAATCGGAGGAATTATAACACAAGACTGCTTTACCAAAATGAACAAAAAATGTAAATCAAAGCAGCAAAACAGGCCTCTATACATATCATGAGTATGACACCAACTCACCAACACACCAGCATATTGAGTAAGAAATTATGAATAGGATAGAACTAGCCAAATCTACACATATCATGCATAAATTAAAAATTGCTGATCAAACTTTAATGCCTTTAACCATAGGCAAATAAATGATGAAAAAGTTAGGATAATGAACTTGCATTTCGTTTTAAAGAGAAATAAAAGAGTATATATCAATATAATATTATAGTTAATGTTGATTAATGCTTAATATTTCCAATTTCATCTTAGAATAATTCCAACATCATCTATCATTTTCTTACAGGAAAAAGTTCTTATTATTCATCATCATAGCAAGCTTGCAGTATAATTTCGCTGGTCACCGAGCCCCTGGGAGCCCTCGATATATCCTTAAACGCGTCTAATTCCACAACATCAGTACAGTTAATAGTCAACCTGTTTAAAACTCTTGAATGTTGCAGCAGATATTTGACAGCTTCAACCTCATAACCTTTATGAAGTCCCTCGACGATGATCTCCTTAAGATGAAATAACACACAAATCGGGACACCTTCAGGTGGTGTCCAACGACCTCTGTCATTAGGATTAACATAGAGACCAGAACAAACCTGAAATAAAAATTTGAAGTACTAATAAGAATGTGATGAACGAAAAAGTTGTTTAATTTCTTGATGTCATAGATCGATCTTACTCAATCAATGTACTACTAACCTTGTTTGCGAGAATAAGGTACTCAAGATTAGGTGTGTACGAAAGGAACTTTGCCAAGAATTCACAATTAATATCACCGGCAACATTCAATTCTAGTTTCATCAACCTTTTGAAGGTTTCTAGTTTTCCTTTCAAGTGAAAGCTCAAGTTCAACCACTGCAATAGCGTAAGCATAGCATCAACATTATCACATCCAACATGTGTGAGTATTGATTAACACAAATCTCTAAATACGAAATTTTTTGATTATTAAAGTGTTTGACAGTCTAATGGTGAATGTTCGTACCTGGATAGTATGGCCGGAAAGTGATAGCACCTTGGCAAATTTGAGCCTATTTAAGAGCATGTATAAATTCATAATATCAGGTATTGATGATTTATTTTTGTTATAAATTGGTTGCCAATCCACATGCGCCTCAACCAAATTACATATACCAGTACTAAAAAGTGAATAAAGGCCTGTCTGATAATCTCTTACCCAAAGGTACTCAAGTCTTGGAGCATTAATCGCGACTCTGTGAACAAGTTTGTAAGATCCTCCTTTAGTGACATCTCCATTATCAACAAATTCCAATCCACATCTCTTTAATGTGGGGATCTGAATAAGTAGATCCAAATCCTGCGATACATGCTTCTTCACATCACGACTTTTGATAAGTAACTCCTCAAGAGAAGGGCATCTAGGTAAGAAATCCTCCAAATGCTGAGTTATAAAAGATTTCAAGATGTTAAGGTGAAGGGTCTTAAGACTAGGAAGCCAGATTGTAGTTGAAGTTTCAAGGTAATCAGTTTTCAACTTCAATACTACTAATGTTGTCGATATGAAAAGGCTTTCAGGTAATGATGCTACTTGATTTTCATGAAAGCAGACCTCAAGGTGCCTCACATCTCGCTCAGCTAACAATCTATTAAGGATGGTTGAGGAGGCAGATGACGATATAGATAGACATAATCTTTCTATACAAGGATAATCATAGCGATTTACCATCTTATTTATATAATTTACTAAACTCTTCTCCATTTGTTGTTTCTCTTGCTCAAATTTATGCTTAATTCGTCGAAAGTAACCATTATCTATATCTAGATTTCCAACCTCAACCCAAATATTCTTCCATTTAGTTGACAAAACTCCAGTTCTCACAACCTCATCACTCGACCGAAGAAGGGACAGAATACGCCAAAGAATTTCATCAGGAAGCCAACTTATCCTATCGATTCCTCTACCTTGTCCTTGAGCGAGTTTCAATTCTTTATTTGGCATGGTGATCTTGCTCGGATATGGAAATTACTTAATGATTGTTAATATTAAACCGAGATAGAAAATTGGGAGTAGACGGTGTAAGCCTCATCTATTAAAGTATTAAGCCAGCATGTTAGATAGGGTGAACTTAACCCTAATACAATAAGGTACTTTACAATGTGAAAAGATGAATACAAGATTAATTAGGAATTCTAAGTGTGCATGATTAACAAAACATAACTTATGACAAACTCATTACCCAATTTTGTAATTACAAATTTATGCTTAATTCGTCGAAATCATGTGTATAAATTTGCATTAATATTAATCAAATTCCAATTAATTCCCACTTCCAAAGTTACAGCCATTCCTGACCAACTCAACTAAAAGCTTAAGCTAATGGTTGAAGTCCAGGAATATGTTTTATACTCTATCACTAATTACAAAAAATGCAAAATTGTCATTAAAAAAAAAAACTTGTACAGCAACTTTAAACCTGCTTTCGATTCATATATAATTCAAAGGCAAAGTTTGAATCTTTCTTTTAATCATCAGATTATAAAATCTAACTCAAATTAGAGCTACAAATAAACAATAAACCTTACAAAAATTGATTTAGGGTCGTCAATCATCATAAATAAAATAAATAAATAAATGTAATTTCCAGTGTATTTAGAATTACAAAAAAAAAAAAAAAAAAAAAAAAAAAAAAAACATTATTGAACTTTTAAAGGTATTAGATTTGTTTAAAAGTGTAGTTTCCATATGAAATTTGCAAACTTTCACTAATACGTCATCAAGTAAAATAGTCGAATTTGTAATTAACTCATAACGAAAATTAAAGAATCAATTTACCCAGATTTTATAAACACTAATAAAATCAAACAAAGAATTGCAGAATTTCAATTAACATTAACAATTAACATCAACAGCTGAAGAAGAATTACGCCGATATTGAGTGCGAGGGATGAGAGATGGAGACAGTAAGTAAATAAGTAGGACTGTGCAATTTTATTTTTATTTTTTTCTTTTTTTTTTTCTTTTTAGGACTGTGCGAGTGTTGTATAGATATGGGGTAATTTTTTTATAGGGCTAATATAAGAGGACTTAGATCAAACCTCAACCTATATTTATGGTCCAACTATGTTAGATCCCGTGCCATGCACGATGATCTTTATATATAGTTATATATTATTGATTGAGAAATATTACGGAGTATAATCATAAATTAGTCAAGAAATAATAAAAGTATGTAATATGTTAATTTGATATTTGAAATTTTAATTATAGCTTCCAATACACAATTAAAACTTAAAACAAAGTAGGCAAAAAATCTAAGGAATATTTTTTATTTTTAAATAGGTTACTAATTATTTAAAAATATTTATTTTTGGTATATATTGCCCAATTTTTTTTTAGAAATATTTGGAATAAATATTTTATTTTAAATATTGTTGTGAAATAAGGGGGAAAGATGAGAGATTGAGAGAGAATTGATCTGTCTATATTATTCCATATATTAGGGGTATATATACACAGAATATAATAAGTAGGGTATGCTTAGATAACAATAAACCCTAGATCTGGAATAATCCGGAAACTTACAAAGAGGATAATGGATATCCACACAATATTTTCATAACACTCCCCCTTGGATGTCCATTATCGAATATTGTGCCTCGTTAAAACCTTAATAGGAAAAATCCAATGGGATAAAAAACTAATTAAGGAAAAAGAGTACAACATTCTTCGTAATACGCTCGAAATGCTGCCTCATTAAAAACCTTACCAGGAAAACCCAATGTGGGACAAAACCATGGTCAAGGGAAAAAGAGTCCAGCGCGTATTTTCTCCCCCTGATGAATACATAACTTGAGATCTTCTAGTGCCGCAACAATGAATCCAATATGTTGTATATCTTCTCATATGCAGTAAAATATCACTCATTGATATGATCTTCGATCCTCCTAAACTGAAATTGCATCTTCAAGTCTTCACGTTAACATGTAAAGTGTCTTCATTTCACCGTACATGTGTTTATCTCTAATATCAATATTTCAAATCTCTGTTTAACAGTTGATTTAAAGGTTAAACTTATGCGGTTATGACTTCTTCTGGAAGTCGTTATTGATGATCATTATTTGATCAAACATTCATTAATAATAATTTGATGAAAAACTTGATATTATTAATGTCATTTTTCAATCTCATATGAATTATAATATAACACATGTAATTATATACGTTAATCATGGTTCTTCTGGACCATAAGAAAACATTCTCACGCATAAGTATTCCATTGATACTCTTTAGATGTTTCATAATTGACACGATAGCTCTCTTACAAATACAAGTAGTAAATCTCATTAACTCTCATATGCTCAACTTCAGGTTGAGATGTCAATGATGTAGTTACATTGAATTTTCAAGAGTTTGTTAGTAATTGCAATATTCAAGAATATAAACTTTGTAGGGCTGGATATTTAAATATGTCATATATAAGTTCTCAGGAACTCATCTTACATGATTCATAACATGCAATTAAATCAGTGTCATCAATAATTATAAGCCCATTGGAATATAAATATCTCTTTCTAATTTTCATCAAAGTTGTAAATATGTCTTACTATACTTTGAATGAACATTCACATAAACGATAGTCATGGTAAGAAACTAATGCATACAATATGAGATATAGAACACATGATAACATATTAACATATTAAACAAAATATACAGTGAGTAATACATCTAACAACTTCATACATATGCAATAAACCATTAACTTATGACTTACATGTACATGAATATAAGACTCAAAATGATGCAAAACACTGTACATTGTGGATTTAAAAATCCATATTTCATTGGACTTCGGGTCCATGATAAACTTATGATCATTTCATTATGTCGGCATCAAAATGTACATATATTTCAGATCTCTTATTCACTAGTCCATTCCATTATGCATATGCATATTATTCATCGGTTCCATTGTGTACCGGTATCATAAAATTCCTTTAACTTACATTTCGCATGCTATTTTACTATGATATCTGAATACATTTCTCATTGGTACCATCATAACTTTCTTACATCATAGGTCATCTATTATAATAATTCAGATATCTATACCACTTTTAGGGTATTTCATACACTAAGGTATTTATATACTATTACACTATTAGTGTCAACTGCACTATCTTGCCAAATATCATATCTATTAGACATATCATTATATATATATATATATATATTAATTGGAACCGATCATACAATCTATACTTTAGGTGTAGTGATTCAAGTATAATTGGCAAGATTCTATCTCAATGTATACACATAATTAATATGACCAAAATGTATCTTCAACGCTATGCAACATGAGTCATAACTGAATACAAATCAAATCATAAATGTGCAACATATCTTGATAATATATATACAAAAGTTGGCATATAACTTTTCAAGCTACTATTATAGGGATCATATTTTTTTTTTTGATTAATTTTTCCAACTTTTGCTAATTCTTCTTCTCCCCCTAAGTTGGTAAAATATCTCATTTATAGGGGCGTCTTATTATATACCAACTTAGTAGACAAATTTGCATTAATAAAATTCACTTCATTAGGAGGATCACAATCAATATTAATTTCACAGAAGATTTGTATTAAACAAGTTTCATCTCTTCTGGAGAACAACTTCAATGAAGAATCATTTCTTCATTAATTTTACATTGCATGTGTATTTATTATATATTACCCTTTTCATAATATCTTCTGAAAACAATGTCAATGGGGAGACATGGGTTGTGCAATTGTACGTTTTTCTTTCTTCTCCTATTTCATATGTGCTGACATATAATAGCCCCAATCAAAAGAATTGTTATACAAGCATAAATCACTTGCTCATAATTCTAGTAGGTGATGATCTTCTGGATCTTTAAGACTTAAATAGTGTATTTGGTGAGCTTCTGATCACTTGATAGTTAACAATAATATTTAAGTTATTTTGGTGAACTTCTGGTCAGCCATTAGTCCTTTATATAAAAAATCAAAACATATTAAATCTTGAAATTTCCATCAATACAAATTATTATAACTCACAATGCAAATATAACTCAATCTCAATGTTACGCCTTGCCATTCAATTCATTTTATATATTTAACATTGAGAAAGCGTCAGCACATTATCAAATGAAACTTCAGGTTTCCATGACGAGTAATTATTATTAAACCCGGATGGCCTAATTTAATTATCACATCTAATCACTTCTCTAAATTTGAACTCTGGTCAGTTTTCAACACTAGTGATCACTTTATTAAACTTACTATGTGCATGGCCATGAATGTGATGTGATGTTAGAACACCAACATGTGTTTCTTTATACAATTGGCAAGACAATTGACTAATTAATATTTTATCTAATAATTACTTATATATACTCTGCTGGAGTTTTGACTATAATCTTGATACATGTTAATCTTGTTGGACATTTCATACTCTTCTTGAACCTTTTACATAATCATGGAACATATGAATTTTACTAAAAGTGATTTTATTCTAAAAATGTAATGAGATTTATCATTTCCTCAAATTTGTCCAATAGATGCTCCATTTCTTTTCCAAAAGTTCTTATATTTTAACTCTATTAGACTGCAACGCTTCAGACGTGTTTTAGGTTCATTAGTAACCGATATTGTCCTTCTGGGACAATAATTTAATTGGAGCATTTATAATTAGTATATGATCAATAATTTATATCCATCTTCAAGATGGTATCATTTAAAAATATTTAAATAATATGCATGTGGCCACTTCTATTAAGTAAATAGTTAATATTTGAGTATAAGTATATTCCAAACTGACCATCAATATATTTTATTATTTATATGCAAGAATTACTTACAATCTCCCCCTAATCCTTGCATATGGGGGTATGGTATGAATCAATCCAACAACCTTTAAAATCCTTTGGCAATGTCATGTATCAAGTAACGTGTTCCTTTTAGCAAAAACATGCTTATATAAAATTATACTTATAGAACACTTATCATGTTCCTCATGCCCAATAACATTCATCTTAAAAAAAAACGAAACCTCTTATATTTATGGGCTTAATAAATATTACAATCATCGTTAAAGACCTCAATACATTACTATAAAAATAATCCATGATGTTTATCCATGATGTTTAATCCATACTCATCATAATCACATAATTTGATCAAATTAAGACTTCTTGAGTAGTTAGCTTAGGCATATTATATAACTAAATATTATGTATACCAGTTAAGAAATTTTCCAAAATATTTTCTCTGCCTTTTTTCTTTTATTCCACTTCACTGTCTAAATATACAAGTGATAACAATACTCCATAACCGTGTCCTTGATTCAAGCCAAGGATTACGTGTGCATAATCAATCTACTCCTAGTTTACATATATTTCATCTAATTATCACTTGGGATTACGTACACCATATTTATCAATATCTCCTAATATGGTGAAGTATATCCTCTAATTTTGAGATATAATTAGGAAATTATATCGTAACAATACTCCATAATAAATCAAAATTAATTTAAATTTCTTTAGCATTAAACATTTAAACCTATGTAAAAACACATGTCATCTACAATACGTAGTATAAGATATAAACATATACCATGAGAAAAATATTATAAATAAAGACTTAGGATCTAGTTTAGATAAATATATTTATAGTAGATTATCATGATGATGAATAATAGATAATCTTAGATTATTAATAATAAACATATCACATAAACATAACAAAATCATGTGATAAAGCTAATTAAGTTTGATAGCAATGAGCCAATGAGTAGGCATAATCACGAAATAAAAACAATAATAATAGCATAATTTGTTTGCTATACTTTATACAAAACCAAATACAAAGTAAACAATTAGAAGCAACAAAACTTATACAAGGTAAAACTAAGATTATTCTTGTAGTCAACCTAAACCAATGGAATAATTCATTCAACCAAATGCAATTCTAATACTTTGTAACATAGTTTATCACATGGATTAACAATCATTATTTTCTCAAAATCACACTTTCTTGATACTCACTCGACTTCAAAGGGAACTAAAGAAGTGATGAAGGAAAAACTCTCAGGTTTATGATAGTATAAAAGTATTCGAGTCTTCATTAAATCCTATAACATATATCTAATGTTCAAACTTTAAGAAGGGTTTAATTAACATCTTATGTATTTTATTGGAACTTATCTAAATCCAAAAATATATAATCTACAACTATTAAAGCAGTTCATAACTAATACACTTGAACACTCTATGATGGTGGTAAACCAGATACAATTGAAAGCAACATGTATACATTAGATCATCACATAATTTGACGGAGATTGATGATGAAACCATCAGCTAATATCATTCTCCAAAATTATAGATATTCAAATAAGACAAATTAGCCGAAACAAAACAATATTAGACATATTCAAAATACGACAACTTAGCTGAAACAAATCAATAGCAATATCCCATATCTAACGAGCTTCATATTTCATTCATCAAAAACAGAGCATATAAATTAATCAAAAACAGAGCATATAAATTAATCAATCACATGACTAGTCTAATACCCTATAAATCTGTAATTAATTAGTTTATTTTAAGAAAGACAATAATCTGACAAATTCAATAAAATATGGAGAAAAGAATATAGGGATACCCGTAAAGTTGCTATTAAACTCGTCTCCTTAGCCGGGTAGGGTTGATTTTGTTTTATCATATATTTTTGCTTGAGACGACACCCAATCGACGAGACAAAGATCAAGAAGGAAGTACAATATATTGCTAAACCTAAATAACTTTCTTGCATACGATGAACTGTCAATCAAATCGAAAAGCAATTATGTATATGTATATGAATCAAAAGAATTATTAATCATTTAGAGCTTTGGTGCTGATAACGTGTTGTGAAATAAGGGGGAAAGATGAGAGATTGAGAGAGAATTGATCTGTCTATATTATTCCATATATTAGGGGTATATATACACAGAATATAATAAGTAGGGTTTGCTTAGATAACAATAAACCCTAGATCTAGAATAATCCGGAAACTTACAAAGAGGATAATGGATATCCACACAATATTTTCATAACAAATATAATAATCATTATGTGTCAATATGGAATATGTAAAAAAAATAATATAATTTTGGTAAATGATTTGTTTCCTTAATTAAAATATTTTTTTTTAAAAAAAATAATAACTAAGGACATACCAGGAGATGACACGTGTCATTACTGGTGTGTCTTTTAGTATATAGTATTGATATTTGCGGGTCTAGCATCACGATATCAAGATGAAAAATTAGTCATATGAAATTTATAATTAGTAGAATTAAGTGTTTGTGTAAGGCTACAAATTTAAAAAAATAAAAATAAAATAACTTGTCTTATAGATTTATCGATTTTGAGGACCAATTAAATCTTACTTGTATCAGTTTCACAAATTTAAATATAGTTATATATATTAATGGAGCTCCATCAAAAGTAATGCACGAGGACATCTAAATTATTCTATGGCAAATCATAAGCTACACCATTTTGCCATTGTATAGCGTGTTTAATAGAGAGATAATTATAAATACTAAATGAATTTTATAGTACTATTTAATGAAATAACTCTTGTCTATTCTATTTAAAGAATAAAATGCAAAATAAATTAACATAATCTCATATTGACATTATCCAAGTGAAGTTTATTTTCTCAAGCTTAGTTTTTTATTTATTTTCAAGACTATAGCTCGTATTACGTTACAGATTCGTCATTTATTTATGTTATTATGCAATCTTAAAATGTATTTACAATTGATTTATTTTAGTATTATGCAATCTTAAAATTTATTTACAATTTTAAGATTGCATAATAATTTAAATTTCACTTTTGCCACCAGCAAAACACATGTATTTCACTTTTGTTATCGGGGAAAATTTTAATTTCATTTTGCTACCATACAAAAACAAGTTTGTTAAAAATTGCTCTACTTTACATTTTCAGTTAGGGTTCCGTAAAGTTTATTCAAAAAGAAAAAAAAAACCCGGCCACCTGTTGAAAAGTCCGGCCCCTCCCGTCAGCCCTCCTCCCCCATACCGGCGCCCGACGCCCAAAGCTGCGGCCGGTGCTGGCGACCCCACCCCACTCCCTTTCCCCCTCCTTTTTTAATATTTTTTTTAATTTTTGCAATTTTTGAAAACTTAACAGAACCCTAACTGAAAGTGTTAAGTGATAGCAATTTTTAACAAACTTATTTTTGTATGGTAGCAAAGTAAAATTAAATTTTTCCCGGTAGCAAAAGCGAAATACATGTGCTTTGCTGGTGGCAAAAGTGAAATTAAATATCTTAACTTAATCATATATAAGATATGTATATTATGGTAAGATCACTAAGATGATATAAAATTTTATATTCTTTCCATTTTAAAAAAATGCAAGAGGCATTGACTTAATGTATATTGAAAATTGTACAATGTTCATTTTATTTTTTACTAACTTAAATTTACCAAAATCAATTTTGATTTGATAAATATATTGTGAATCATGTGTAATCAATGTTTAAATAATAAATGTCATGTAAAATGAAAAAAAAAGAAAAAAAAATCAAATTAGTGATTTTGGAGGGAAAAAACAGCACCAGAAAGTGACATATAAGTGTCTGTTTTAGTATTAAGTTATTGATTGATTGTTTGATTATTGATAGAAGATTTAACAATAACAACTATCCATTGTGAGAGTTTTCTAAGGCTATTCTCTTTATTTAGTAATGGTAAAATAGATGTAGATTATTTCAAGTCGTGAAGGAGCATTTTTTAGCCTAATATAGCTTTTGTCTTTGATGACTATACTACAATATAATTTAGATGATACCAAAATACTTTTTCATTCATTAGTACCAAGTTTCATAGAATTTAAACTTTGTCAGTAACAAAATATAAGTGAGATAATATCATCTAATCACAACTTAATAACAGGAAACATATTCATTAATGATTAAAGTCATTAGAGTACATGACATATACCGAGAAATTTTCAAAACACGTAGTGAGTAAGGGTCTGTTCTCATACGATTATTTCCAGTTCTCATACGATTATTTTCAGTTCAATTTAATTCAGTTTAACTCTAATAAGTTCAGTTTAGTTCAGCCCTAATAAGTTCAGTTTAGTTCAGTTCAGCTTTTAATTTCCTTCTCTTATAAAATATTCATTTCAATTCAGTTCAATTCAGCTCTAATAAGTTTAATTTAGTTCTGTTCAGCTAACTTTACTCAATGAAAACAATCCCTAAGACTTTTAATTAGCCTCATTCCAGACACGGCTCACTCGGGAGTACTAGGTTCGTAAGCTTGTTCGACTCAACTCGTACCCAACTACCTAGCTGACATGTTTACCACTAAACAATAGGCACAACTCGCACAACAATACAACATTTACCTGAAATTCTTCAATCTCTCTTCGCCTCCCGGCGACTCGTATTCAAACTCCCAAGAAGGCAAGAACAATTGAATTTTGCAAAAGTAACACCCAATTTCTTCAATAATCTGTAATCAAAAACCCTAAATTCACGAGCTTAATCGTTGAAATAAAATGGCTGATCGTGATAAAAACTGGGATTTCTACCTCCGAACACTCTCAGCAAGTGCCAGAGACTCCACTTCACCTGCTTCCGATCCTTCTCTTCTTGAATCCGTCAGTTTTTCTCTCTCTTAGGGTTTTCCCCGTCTCCAATTTCTCTGAAATTATTCAGTTCAATGTAAAATTTTGATGAATTTTGCTTGAAATTTGTGAGCAGGTAAAGAAGCTTTGTGAGCTTTGTAAAGCTGAGAAGTCTGATGATTTAGTTGCTCGAATTTATTCCTCCATTAACAAGCTATTTCAACGTTCTGTTGCTTCTCTCTCCCAGTCTCGCTCTTCTCATGGCCTTCTCTTGTTGGTGAGTGATTAAATTTTCATTGATTTTGGGAATTTATTTTAAAATGTTGTTGATTTGTGCATTGATTATTGATTTATTTCTGGGGAATTTGCATTTTATTATTGTTAGAAATTGGAAATTAGAAATTGGAGGGCGAGATAGTTGAATTGGTTTTCTACAAACTTTTTCTTGAACTTAGAAAAAGGATGGGTTTTCTTGACCTGAGGATTTCTGCAGAGATGTATCTATAATTTGGTGTTTTTCGGAGGCATCTATAATGATCATTGTTAGATATTAGTTATGTTTTGAGGGGCTCTTTAGCCTTCTATCAAGTGTTTTTTTAAAATATTTGCATTGTGGAGTTTGGGTTCTTAAACTAACTGTCAACTCGAGTCATGGAGTAGAGATCAATTTCACCTACACAAGCATGTTATCTATGTATTTTACCTATTCTGAGTCATGGGATGTTTGGTTCATCAAATTGGAATGGATTGCTATGGAATCTCATAGTAGAGAGGTATGGATTCTAAAACCCATACTAGTCCTAAGTTATTTGGTTTTATTGTTGGAATGGATTCTATCCTTCATTAATAGAATGAATTGTGAATTTTAGGGGAGGGGTGGGTATGGGATTCCGTGGGTATGGAGGGAAATTAGAACCCCTTGGGTATGAAATTCCATTACTAAAAACCTCAACCAAATTACCAAACAAAAACTAGATGGAATGGATTCCAACTCATTCAAAATGATCCAACCAAACGACAAATGAAATGTTTGCCAAAGATGTGAGCAATATATATGTATGTTGTGTACTCATTGGAAAATCCTTAATGGTTGCTTTTTATCCGTATCCTCCTTTAGTTTTGCCTAATTCCTTGGACAATAGTTGGTTTCTTTATTAAGCCAAATTCAGGATCTTGGATATTAACTAATGATTACTTCAGAGTTCAGATGTGGATAGAGACGTTAAAACCTTATATCTTGGATGATTGGATAAATAAAGTTTTGGAGAATTCTAAAAAGGTTTAGGTTAGAACATTACCTAGGTCTTAAATTAAAGCCTGGTGGATCTACTGCTCATTGGTATATTGAGTTCAAGAGTACATAGCCTGATAGCCTTTCCCCTGACAAGCAGAGAGCTACTTTCGAAAACTTCAAAAGTTTGTTTTTTTTTTCCTTTTGATTTTCCCCATTTGGAGGAAATATGAAGATTTAAGCAAACTATATAATGGTAAGCCATAGTTTCTCACGATGACGGTGACATACAAAAGTTATACATAAAATACAATATGCAAAAAGGTATTTAGGATCGATAACTCAGGCATTCTGGCTGCAAACACCTGTATCACTTACTAACCTAAGGGATGAAGATGTTTAGACCTTGTACAAAGTCCATTGATAGTTAAATTCTTAGTTCGTGTATGTTGTTTGTATAAATTTATATACTTATTAAAATTGTCAATGAAGATTTTATTTTTTACTCCTTGTGGTGCTTTCTTCTCAACAGGCCATTCTCCAATTTTTCTTGGACTTTGGAGAGTCTGTTCTTCATGATGCTGATCCCAGTCTGAGGACATTTTTTCGTTCTTGCTTGAGCCGGTGATTTATCCTCGCCTTTATATCTAATAAACAGTATATCAGGAATGCTAAACTGTTAATGTCTGATGTTCCTGCCCATAAATGTGTGTAGTTGTATTCACAATAAGAAAAATGTCAAAGGTGAACTTTTTGTAGTTATGATTCAGTCTTTTAAAAAGAATAGACCTTAATATACACACTTTTGTCTTATTACACAAGTTTAATTTGGTTTTGATATTAGGCGTTATTGTTAAGGGTGATTCCTGTATGGAACTGAATTTATCTAATGATAGCACTAAATCCCATATTCTTTCGACCTATCAATGGGTGAATTTGAGTGGTATATGAACTTTAGTAAAGATGTTCAATTCCTGTCCAAGCTTGTAGAATTTGTGCGTGTAGACAGTTGGTGTTAACAAACTATGTTCTAAGCAAATACATTGTTAAGATCTAAGGTTTGAACTGTGTGCATTTAATTAGCATTGGAAAGGGAATGAGCAACCAAAAAGATCACTCCCATTTTATGTATTTTCTGCCTAAAACTGAAGAATATACACGCAGTTATTACTTTGGAGGAGCATTTGGGATAAAACCCTTAATATATTTAAACTGGAAGATGATGAAATAGCTGGAATGATGTGTCTGAAACTGGATGTTGATTGTACACAGTCCATATTTGAAGAGGCTGTGGGCCAGCAGTCCAGCACAATTGAGATGCAATTAGCCGAAATACACTTTCCAGGAATCTTTGTGGGGGTATTTGAGGGTCACTTAGATTATCCAGTAAATACAAGGTAGTATTTTGCATTATAGAAGACCATTTTACTATTTTAGTGATGTTTAGTTGGTGTCTGTAGTCTTATTACTCTTATACCATCTAAACCTTCGTATAAAGTGACAGCTATGAAGGATTAATGCCTAAATGGTATGTAGTGCTTTGAGATCATCAAATCTCTTGAAGAATAATTGGCATTATTAGAGGCTCTAGTGTGGGAATTGTTATGTGGCATATGCCGACTTGGATTAGAAATTTAGAATGCTAGGATATTGAAGAACTTTTTTTAAAAATTTATTTATTTATAATTATTTGAACTTTTTTCTAGTTGGGTTTTAAGATGTTAATCATTTTATATTAGTGAATTGCAAATCCATAGTGTATACTTCCTCCGTTCTGTTAATATTGCAACAAGGAGGAAATTACGCATCCCAAAACACATTTTATATGCTAAATATCTATAATTGTGTAAGAGTAAAAATTATAAAAAGTTGATATTGTGAAAGTATTATATGAGACGAATCCAACAAGATCCCACTTGACTATATTTTGCTTAACGTATAACTCATACTTCCTCCGTTTTCTTTTACTTGCAACACAACCTTGTGGCACGTGTTTTGAGGTCGGGTTTATGTAATGTAAACGGACAAATTTTTCATTATAATTTTTACAAATGATACTTAACCCTATTCTAATTTTCGTGTAAAAATTATATTGATAAAATCGCTCGTTTACCCTCACTAATCATCTCCTAAAACCGCGTGCTTAAAAGGTGTGTTGCAAGTAAAAGAAAACGGAGGAAGTATTATATGGTCAAACAAGAGTGATGAATAGTGTAAAAAGTCCATTATTGCAATATTAATACAACGGAGGAAGTATATGTAATACTAGTTCAGAACCCGTGCCACGCACGGTTTAATAGTAATTTTGTAGTAGTATTTCAATATTATTTATTAGAAAACGTACCTACAAAACATAATCACTGGAAATAAAAAATCATAAAAAGTAATAAATTTATAGTTGCTAATGTAAGTATGTAACACAAGCAGTCACCTAAAAAGAAATAAATTAATGCAATTACATAAGACATACACATATACTCGATTATATTAATTTTTTACTTCAATTAAAAATAATAAATAAAAAATATAATTCACAATGAATCTTAAAATTATTCTACTTTTAATAATATCTATATCTAAGTGATACAATACTATTAATACGTAACTATCCCAAGTTCAGTAACAAATATATATTTTTTTTTAAAATTTTCAAATGTATTAATAATTAGATATCTTAACGAACTTCTTTCTTTTTGATAACCCAAAAAAATCTATAAAAAATAAACATTAAAAAAAATCAATAATAACAAAGTTTCTTGGCGGGAAAGTTTTTTCTGATATGTTTATACATGTATTATGGGGATAATGATGGGTATTACTTTAGTATATAAGTAAGTATTGATGTAGTGAGTTGGAGGCAGCTGTATTAGCATATTAAAAGAAGCTGGCATCAGGATAATATATTCTCTTATGTTGCCGACCTTGTAGTTATGTAGTATGAGAAATGCAATTGATGAGGTCTAGAAGTGAAACTAGTAACAAAGCATAATATTGTTTAATGGTGCTTTTGTTTTAGCTCTAAAAAGATGAAACCACAATCTGTCTGCCACTATCAAGAAACGAACCCTTCACTATCAGCACTACAAACATGAACTCTTAATCTTTATAAATTCAACTATAGCTGAGGTCTAGATAATGACACTTTTAGTTTGAAATGTTGAGGCTCGTAAACAGTTGTTTCTTAGAGACATGCTGAGAAAAGTATTTTTGGAAAGGGGAGTAGTGAAAATATTCCTAGCTTAATGCAATCAAAGGTGAGATAAATGGATAATGGGGTTGGGGCTTGGAACTCTTGGAGGGAGAAGTGATGAAAATGGTAGCTGGCCCAAGGGCTAAAAATGAGAAATATGCGTACTTGTGTACATAATAAACTTTCAATGAAGAAAATATTATTGTACATAGTTTAGACATTGGAGCCATAGTACATCTACAACTCTTTTAAATGAAATCTAATCACTCTTAACTTTTAAATGAACCCAAGATGGAAAGGTTTTCAATCTGAGCCAAATTTGTGACTATGAACTGTCACCATTAAAAAATCAAGAGTTATGGGCAACAATTAATGTTTTGAGGATAATAAATTCTCAACCTTTCTTTTGGTAATTGTTTAAGTCATGGCATTCTTCTTCTTTTTTTTTTTTAAAAATTATTTTTTTAGTGAAGTGGCCTAATATTAACTATCAATAACTTAATGTTGACTGCAGTGATTTTGCTGACCCTGTCATTGCAGAGGCAACAATCAAATTTCTTATTGTGAATAAAAAGAAGCTTCAGACTTCATTTCCAACTGTGCTACCTCAAGTATGTTCTGGAACTGTAATGCTATTCTTTATAGGAGAAGTGCACACTCATAGAATTTATCTAGGTATTGCTGATGTCAAGTAAAGTTGCTTCTTTGAAAAGTTAAATTCCTTTTGGCACAACCCAAGTTATGAAAATTATAAGGAAGCCGGAGTATATCTGAGTAGGTGTGATTGCAATTTTTCAGTAGGATGAGAAACTCAAGGATTAATGATCCTTGTTCCTTTATCAAATTATATTCTTTTTGCTCTACCAAGTGTTTTTGCTGCTCATATTTCTCTGACACTAATATTTCTTAATCAAAGTGTGCACTCATGGTTGCTTTTGCTTCTATTTCTGCCATTAAGTTGATTGTATTCTATACCTGAAATTTCCTACTAATTACCTCTTTGTAGGCTTAGGTTCTAGATGGATTTTTAATGTGTTAATCTTGTATTGATAAGGCTTTTGAGTTGTATTTTAACATTTGTGATGTTAATTTTACAAGATGGAAAGCAAATTTGAGTTATTAGTTTGTTTCATGTGCTTGCAGTTCTTTCCCTTGCTATTGAAGCTCATTGCATGGAATGGAGAGAAGTAAGTATTTCTATATTTGTTCCATTGTATGCTATCAAATGGTGGAAGTCTTCACCATATTCAAATTCTTCGGAATCTTGATGATTGGTGCTAATGGTTTGCATCGCTTTATATGTACAGATGATAGTAGGTAGTAGAGTGCTTGAGTATATCAACTAATAATTGACATTTAAGTATTCCGCTCCCCTCCCCCCCCCCACTCTACCCCCTCTCTCTGCTGATAGTTAAAAGAATCCTATAGCATTAAAACTGTGTAGCCCCTGGTTTTGGCTTGCCTGCACTATAGTATTGGTGGATAGGAAAACATTGTTGCATTTTGATTGAAGTACTTGTCTGAGTTCAAGTGAATGGATCTTAGATTTTTTTTTTTTTTTTTTTTTTTTTTTTTTTTTTTTTTGTTTTAAACCTACGAGATATTGTAAGTGTTACAGATTGTTTGGCACATAGTTTGATTGACTTTATTAAAATAAGATATAGGTAGGAATGGCAATGGATCGGATTCGGGTCGGATGTGGCTAAATCCGAATCCGATCCGTTTAGTAAACGAACCCTGGACTCGGATCCGAATCCGAAAAATCCAAGTCCGAATCCGATCCAACTCATAATTTTCGGATCCGAATCCGGACCGTTTATTCGGACCTTCGAAATGATTCGAATATTTATTTTTATTTTTATTTTTTGTAATGTCATATACCTATAATTGCTTGCATTGTCATACTAATTAAAGTATAAACATAACATATTTAAATTATAAATTAAGTTACATAACAAAATTTTGCTACAAAACAAGCAAATAATTGTCCCAAGTTATAGAGCATATGCTTATACTCTTGGATTCGGACTCGGATCGGACTCCGTCGGACTTTGCGTAGGGTCCAAGTCCGATCCACCTCCTATTCGGATTCGGATCTATTTTATCGGATTCGGACTAATTTTAAACGGATTCGAATCGGATTTTTTCCTTCGGATCGGATCGGATTCGAATCGAACTCGGTTTAAATTGCCATCCCTAGATATAGGTGGGGTATTAAAAAACTACAAGAAAGGATAGTGGGGTTAATAGTTCATTGAAAAGTAAGGGATGTGAGAGGAGAGAAATAATAAAATTAGTAAAAGTGAAAACCATGACAAGAGAGAGATGTAATATTAAAATTTTAGTTGGGTTTGCCAAAAATGCAAGTGACCCTTTAAAAAAATGACCTATAAAGGAAAGCGTAACACTTAGGCCGTGTTTGGGGAAAAGATGAAAGCTGAAACTAATTGTGTTAACTGATTTTTAACTAGCTAATTATACTAACTGATTTGACTAACTTATTTTGTTAGCCGATTGTATACAAGTGTTTGGTAAATAGCTGATTGCTTAAAGTTGATTGATTATGTGAAATGACCAATAAGCTAATTGCGGGGTAGGTAATTCATATAAGATTTTAATTTAAATGAGGGTATAAGTGTCATTTCACTATAAGAATTGAATAAGCCAATTGAAAAAGCTCCAAAAAAAAGAGCTTTTTGGAAATAGCTTATTTAGTGGAATAAGCTCTTTAAATAAGCTTCCTGCCAAACACCTTGAATTAGCTTATCTAAATAAGCTAATGTTGGTCAAATAAGCTAATTTTGCTCAAATAAGCTAGTTACCAAACACAACCTTAATAAAATAAAATGGAGACATGTTTTTCACGTGGAGAGATGCATTGCTAGCACCTTAGCCTTTCTGTTCATGCTGTCATTTTGAGTATTTCGAACCATCGGCTTGACCTGTGTACAGTATCCATCAGTCATAGTCTTTGTTGCTTGAGCTCTTCATTCCAACCAAGCTATCTGTAATCCTTCAATACGGAGTTATTACCTCTCTGGTTCTTTATTATAAACTTTAAACAGAACAAATTCATTGAATTGGCGTTGAAATGGTTGGATCAATGCTTGGATTGATGCATGCATAAGTTCCATTGTCTTTGATCTATGTTACACAATTGTTAGCTTAGATCAAATCTTGTTCAACTAATATCCTTCGAACAAGACCACAGAAAAATTAGTATTTGCGGAAAAAGAGCTAGAGTAATATAGAAAAATTGGAAAACCATGTAGTATCTGTGATTGGCAGTCAGTCCTTTGTGAGCCATGTCCATAATAAACTTATTGTGCACCCATGCATAAGTAAAATTCATTAGTTGTTCCATTCAGACATCACCAGCTTCATGTTCTGCTACTATATGTATTCTTTGACTGCAAACACTATTCTTGGATAGCTGGCTACCTGGCTGTTAAGCTGATCCCATATGAATGTTCTCATTGAAGCAGCTTTTTACTCTCTTGTCTGGTAATTAACATAGATTATGATAATTTTGTATAAATCTTTTAAATACTCCCTCCGTTTTTAAATACTTGCTCCACTTTCCTTAACCTGTCGTTTTAAATACTTGCTCCATTTCCTTTTTTGGAAAGCTTTTACAATATTTAATTCATTTCTCACACTTATTGGACCCAACATAATTCTCTCTCTGCTCCTATTCTTCCACTACTTTGGCTTTTTACAATTTTTTATTCTTTCAACTACCCTACTACCTCCATATTTTATTACTTTCTCCAATTTCTCCTAAAACTCCGTGCATGGAGAAATGGAGCAAGTATTTAAAAACGGAGGGAGTATCAAATATGCATTTATGTAAACAAGACCTGTATATGGTGCAATCATATATGTAAATGTACACATTGTGATACATTCTGTTATAGTGTTATATATGATAAAGTTAACATTTGAAGTTCTTATTCTACTCACCTACCGTGATCTAAGTCATCTAACTAAAGTATCAGCTGATCATTATACATTAATTTACTTTGCAGGCTTGAGAAATCATTTCTGAAGATATTTCCTGCGCTAGTAGCTCCCGGGTCATTCTTGGCTTTATTTCCAGCTATCGCAGACTTGCCTGGTGAGTTTGCAATAGTGTGTCATATACCGGAAAATGTTGAAAAGTCTGGAGTGATTTGTTTTTCAAAATTGTCTACATTAAGCCACATAAGATGACATTGTAAGGTCAAACCAACTGGTTTGCACATGATTCTCTTAAAACAATCCTCTTGCACGTTCATGGTTCAACTTTGTTAGTAGGGAAAAAATAGCCCCCTCTCACTAGCAGTAACTTTACATGTGATGATTGTTATATCTTTTGCAATTGTCGTAGCCTATTATAAATTCCTATTAATTCTTGGTAAGCAGATTTTATCTGAAGCCAAGTGCTCATTTGAGTTTGGCAACTGACCATTGCTGTCTCATTTATAGTTATGTTAGCACATTTAATATCAAATATTAACCATTGTAGATAGTTGTTTAAGTTTTCTAGGTTGGACTTGAGGTATGAAGGGGGGGGGGGGAGGGGGAGTTTGGCCGTCGTCAGCTCTCTATGAGAACAAATTTCTGATCCTTTTTTTTTTTAATCTTAAAGAATCTTTGTCTAAAGGAGTTTCCAATTTATCATTAAAGAGAGTTTATAATAGTGTTATGTGCTTATGATGATTACCTTTTGGCTGTGCTAGTCCTGGTTGTTGCTCTTGAAAAGGTGGAAAAAAGCTCTGGAACACTGGTTGGTAACAGCATTGCTTCAATCAAGAATAGTACTGCTCCTGAGGTAAATTTGATGAAACTAGAACTTTTCAGTATCATACTCCTTTTAATCTGTTGTCTGGACAATTTTGAAGTACAATAGATGTTTTTGGATGCAGATGCTACTTGCCTTAATGGATGAGGCATATACTGGCTCAACCATAGCAGGCGGAGAAGGTGACTCTGAATCTGAGGATAGCAATACTATAGATGTTGCTGATCCTGCTTTCCTTGATCTTCTTAAAGATGAGAATGACTTTATCACTGTATGAATCTCTATTATGAATTATGATTATGTTTTCACATATTTCTGACAAATTAATTTTATAATAGTATAGTAGGGATCTTGGTGTTGGGTTCTCTATGTAATTTACTTTTCTTTGATATAAAGATGACATGGCAAGGTTTGAACCTGAAGGTTAAGAGTTATTATCAATTAGGTTGAGCATGAAGGGGAAGAGGCAGAGGGTTGGGGCTAGGGGAAGTATTAAGGAGCTTTAAGCATGTTCCAGGTCTAGACCTTGCATTATGCATTTTATCTGCTTTACAATGCCTTTTGGCAGTGTCCACTTAAGAAGCAACATGGAAATACATAAATAGCTAAAAGTAACCTTACCTGGTAATCTGGTGTAGACCATTGGGAGAAATATTTTTTATTTACTATTTACATAATCCCTGTAGATGATATTTATCATCTTGTATGTTTGCCATTTAGTGCATTATGCCAATTACCATAATCAACATATAGGTTGATGTTGATAACAAACTTGACTGAAACTGGAAGCGTTGCACTTGCTGACTTCACATTTTTTTTACTGCCGTGAGACTAAAGGTTGACTTAAGAAATGATGGTATGTTTCAGGAACGTCATTGGACATCACCTGCAATTGCTGCAGCATTACAGGCTGCTACAAGTGGTGTTCAGTCTGACCGGTTGAAACAATCACTAAAGATCGCACCTCGCCTGCTGGATGTATATTTTGCTATAGCCTTACGCGATGTCAATGATTGTATGAGACTTCTTCCATTTTCATCTGCTTTACTTACTACTTCATAGTGTATAGACTTGTTGCTTAGGTCATTGTGCCACCTGCTGTTATAGCCACTCTGTCATACTGTAATGCTGTAATACATTAAATTCTGAAGCATCTTTGCCTTTTCTTTTGGCAGCCTTGATTTGTGCGCTTATTCCCATGCTTATGTTAAGACATGCTGCTATATTCCCAGACAAAATTTTTTCATATGAGGTAATGTGCATTTGATTTGTAGGAAGTCTAGAAATTTTACTTAAACTAATATAATGTCCACTTTGCTCATCTTCTTTGTCTTGATGTATTTAGACTTGTTAAAAATCAACATTTTAAGGAGCATTAGGTAAATTCAAATGCAAACCTATTTCATAGCCGCATATGCATTATGCTCATAACTTAGGCTTTCTTTGTTATGATGAGGACTTCTCTTCTCTGCTTGATATGCAATCACAAGCTATTTATTTTATTGAATGCAAACTTTTTGTTTTGGTTCTTGTTTAGTTTTTAAAATTAAAAGTTAACATATATGCCTAGATGAGTAGATGTTTGCTTAGAGTATACAAATAGATGTTCCAGTTTCTAATTTTATGATTTTGATAATTTTTAGGCTTTCTGTTTGTTGCTCTGATACTCCGTATCTTGCTGAGGGAAGTATCAATTAGTGACAATTATACTTTTCACACAGGTCAGAAAAAGACTCTTGGAATTTATGCTTGCTTCATTTCAGCGCTCACCAGATTTTATCTCACTTCTGAAGGTACCTTAGTGGCTGTATATGTGTCATAATTCATAATTGTGCTGTGTGCATAAACTTGAAGAAGAAATCATCGTTCAATTTTAAAACTTGTTTCCTAAGAATTTATTGCTTTCTAATGCTCTGCAGAAACCTATCGTGGACAGACTTGGTGAAGCTTATGACAGCCAAGAGAAGGTTGAACAATCACGTTTTAATTTTAGAATGTCGATGTATTTGGTAAATTTATTCTGAGATTTGAATGTATTTTCTTTGGTAGACAGAGTTGGCTTTACAACTTTGTTGGGCTATTGGCGAGCATGGAGGGGGCGGTGAATCTCACAAAGATGCTGCTCGTGAACTTTTTGAAAGTTTGGAGTTACTTTTATACGAGAACCTCTCATCTAGGTAAGTTCAACCGTACTTTCTCCTTGTTAAAGAATAAATTTTTGGTGTCTTTGTTGACAGTATTTTGCTTTAATTTTGAAGCCGTCTTGGTCTAAGACAAGGCACCACTAGCACAGGCTCTGAGAAGGCGGGACAGTCCAGACTTCTATGCTTTGTTATAACAGCTATTGCAAAACTTGCTACTTATCACCGTGAATTACTACCTAGGGGTCGTGTATCCTTAGCAAAGGTTTGAAGTTCATTTGAAATTTATAATTAATCTTGGATTTCCTACCGGATCTTGTGATATCTGTCAGCTTCTTCTTATAATGATGTCTCTCATGACCTTATCTGGCTTTACCTGGGATCATCGTTTGATTTGAGTTTTGGGGATAAGGGAGTATTTTTAAGCATTCCCAACTGAAGAGAACAGGGAGGGATTCTGATGTGTTGTCACTGTACAATGTTTTGTGAAATATCTGCCCAGGATGAAATTGGTTTAGTCTGTCCATGGCTAACTGAGTATAACATCTCAGGTAGTTCGATCTCGATTATCTGACGCAAGGGTTTGGACAAGGGCTCGTGATTGTTTGGGTTTACTGAATGAGCCTGCTATATGTATGTCTGTGTTGGGATCTTCACGACATCCCAGGGGAGAGAAATATCCAGGAACTGTGAACTGGAGTGATGGTGGGACTAAAATGATTGCTCATGTCCCATTTTATATCTTGGCTGGACAAGCAGGTTAGTTTCTCGTTGAAATTTGGTAGTTGTGCAAGGCATTTTGCTGTTCCTGATTACACTGTTACTATTGGATCAAATCCATGTTTTATAGTACTTGTTTCAGCTGGTGTGGCTTGACTCTTATGGGTTCACATCCTTTTAAATTTGATAAATATAAATACTTTATCTATGTGACTTGGATTTGGATTCTACCTTTACCCTGCAGTCCTTTGTTACCTTTGTTAATTAACTACTTTTGAAATCTTGTGCAAGAATGTAATTTGCTTTGTTTGAATATGAACAACTTACATTGAGCTATGTGGCTGACTCAAATTAATGTTTCATTTCAGGCCCCCCATTTCATGATTTTGCATTCTCAGACATCCTTCCAAACAGATGATTGATGCAAAATCTGCAACAAGAGATATTGAATTTGTTTCTGTTTATATTTTTTGCTGAAATTGTGACCTGAGTAGAATATCTCTCTTGCCTCTTGGGTTCGATGAAAGCTGTAATTTCTTGTCATAATGCCTTCTTAACTGTTTCAAAGTTATTTCGAGAGTAGATTGTGAGTGAAGGTAAAGGTTGTGCATCGATCCCTTACATGTACTTTCCTTTCCAGATGAGGTGTGATGGGACTTATATCTGTTTTGCATTCCGGATTTGATTGACTCTCATCCTCATGTTATGCTGCCGCTCTTCAGACCAATACTCTGGCTTATCACCAAGCTTACTCTGGGCTGAAGTGATCAGTTGTTGCAACTTATTTGGAGTGCACTTTGCAGAGGACAGCTTCAGAACTCTCAAGTTGTTGTGCAACATAAAATCTCTTTTTGCTATGTTCAACAAATCTCTACTTAATTTCTTACTACTGGACAATAAAACCTGAATTCAAGACTTGTATTTCAGTCCGTCTGCACTCTGCAATAAAACACCTTCCAAAGAGGAAATATATGTAAAATCTTTGATTATGTTTTGCTGATTCAAGTCTGTAATTAGTACGGTGATCCATCAGCATTAGAGGAAATTTGTACAGACTACAGAGCAATGCCTGTGGATACGGCTATGCAATGAACACCTTCAGGTTCAACATCATGCACCCCTCAGAAGTTCAGTATCAGTCAAACTCAGCCTATCCTAGCGGCTATCCCATATGTACAGATTATAAACACTTGCGGTTAGAATGATAACCTTTCATTAACACTCAAATCTAATAGACAACATTGAGTCTAACCGACTTCCTAAAGTTTTAATAGAGGGCTTTAGTTCATGTTTATTTGTAAACAGAATAAGTTTTTATACCGGCCAATTATGGTATGACATAAATATGTCTAATTGTTTACTCCAATACTCCCTCATCGCTTAAAAATCGTTACATATGACTTTTTAGTTTTTACGGAGTTAAAGAGAATCAAGACCTATTTTAACCTTAAATATATCCGTTCCATACACTTAACAATTATAAAAAGTTTGAAACCCAAATAAAATGACTTTATTATATCTTACCATATTGATTAATAAAGTTGAAAATAAAAAAAATAAAAAAAATTGAAACAAGTGAAAGCATTTTTGAGAAGGTATAATAAAAACCTCTTTTGGCTCTTTGTCTGAAATTCTTTATGAGATTTTCATGAGAATGCTCAGTAAATATAAATTAATATGCTCAGTAAGAATTTTCAGGTTTGTTCCCTACTAGTCCATGATCAAGGTACGCGCGCAAAATTATTCACATTTGTATTTGCCTGATTTTTTTTTTTTATTTTTTTTTTATTTTTTTATTTTTAAATTTCAAAACCCTAACTATTGTTTATGCATTGCAATAATCAATTTTTGTTCATATTAATTTAATTTGATGAAATTGAGCGTTTCTTCATTGTAGTTATGTTTCTGATTTCTATACCTTTGAATAATTGCATGTAATTGTGTACTTTGAAAGAAGATTAGAAACTACAGTTTAAATATTGAAATTAAAAACTACTTCGTTTTTTTTAATGTAGTAAATCTCAATTTTTGGTTCTTGGAAGTATCATTCTGTCTTAAGCCTATTTAAATAATGGATCCTCAAAATGTATGTTGATTTTGATGATGGGGGACTTTAAATTAGTCTCTTCAATAATGTAGTATGATTAGAGGTTAATTTGCATACGTTTATCCGATTTCGGTTTAGAGGATATGTGAATTGCTTAGGTAGCTGGCGGTTAGGAAGCACGGGACCTTCTAAGACCTGAGGTTTCGCCGTTTTTTGAAACTCGATTGTTTTCGTGATTATAGTGCATAGAAATGGTTGGGACTTAGTTGTTCATTTCTGAGACCCGAGTTGTTTCCGTGCCTCCATAGGTTAGTGTAAGTAGCTTAGGGTAGAGCATAGGTGCATTTCCTTACCATTGGTGAGGTTGAGGGATCAAATCCCTCTTTCTACTTCCAGCGTGGTCCTTTAGTTTTAAGGAGTGGAGTAGGCCGATGGAGAGTAGAGTTGTGTCATGGTACAATTAGAACGGAGGAATGTTACAATTAGTATGTTGTTAGTTTGTTACTTAACTAGAAGTGTCAAGGAGTATTTTGTAGAGGATAATAAAAGCGTGAAATGTATTTTGGGACGGAGGAAAAAATGTATTTACTTTAGGGGTGAACTTGAACTAATACATTTAGCCGCCCATCATCCGATCAATAGATTGGGTTGTGATGGTGATGAAGTTGTAGGTGCATTTAATTTTCCAGGTTTTGTTTGGTTTTGACTTTATTGATCAATTTTGCATTAATAAAGCACTAACCTTTATTGTTTCATAATACTAACTACTAAGACATGCTTTTGAGTTCGAATGTTAATTGCTGGCTTTTAGGTTATGTTAATATACAGAAATTATATGCTTTGACTCAAGTAGTATTGGTATTAAAAAAATACTTTCTTAAATTACAATATGTTTATTCTAAGAGAATTAACAGTCAAACTATGTGAGTATTCTTGGTAGTTCTGTTCATTGAGGGTTGATAATGTAACCCGATTTTTTAATGTTTCAAATTTTGGTTGAATTCCAATCTCTTATGAATTTGTGTGACTGATCACAGATCCCAAAAGCTACATCTGCTTCCAAAATCTTTTTGATTTTTCAATTCTTTAAAGCATATGGTAGTCTTTTGGACATTAATTTTTTCAATCAATACTATAATATTAAAATTAATGTGTACCAGGCTTGTTGAGCTCTCCACTATTTTAATATCTTATCTTATGCACACCTCATGTTATACTGTTTAATTTTACATACTATTAATCTCTTTCTAACGAAGATTTTTCGTCTTTTGAAGCATGAAATTCAATTTACACTAAAATATTGACTATATGAGGTGTACGTTACACAATTACATACGCACCTTGACAAAGACAAATGGCGATGACTGCTGCAACAATATTAATTTTAGCTGATTTTTGAAACTTTTTTCCCTCCCTCACTCTCTCTCTCTCTGTGTACATTATATGTAAATATTCCCTGGTAGTTTGACTGATATTATATTAAGTAATAAGGGATTGGAGCCACTGGAGGACTATCCCGAATCTGGGATACATCTTATCAGTTATCAGTTATTCAATACACTTGTACTTTGTTCACCGTAGCTCTTTAGCAAAGAGATTATCTGGGATATATTTTGTCAATTTGTGTTTGAGCAATAAATTTCCCGAAGTAGACATGTTACATGCTAGCATCATTAGTATTATTATTGCTGTCAATATGAAATGGTATTTTGAGGAACTCTTGTTTTGTCTTTTGTTTGTATTACTCTGCTGACTACATGATTGTGGTAGGTTGAAATCTTGAGATCCTCAAAAGTATCTTATTGCAAAAAATTATAGTCATTAGCAACTTTCCTGTGTCCCAAATGCACAACAAAGTCCTTCACCTTCAGTTGTTGACATCAATGACTAAGTTTTGGTGAATGTAGTTATTCATTTTATCCTCAACATAAGAGATTATGAGTATAATGATGTATTATTCGTTTTGCTGCAGTCTGCTGTCTTTACCTTTTACAGTTCTATCTAGTTTGATTTAAATGCTTGGAAGATTTGTCTGTTGTAAGTAAGGAACCCAATTGGGAGAGAGAGTTGCGCATTTGGGGGGGGGGGGGGGCGGTTAGGAATATTCTCTGCTATCCATGCTGAACAAGCTCTCTTTACTTTCATGTTAGTTTGTATTTTCCTCGCAATATATATGTTTTTTTTTTTTTTTTGTAAGTTGATCAGTATACAATCTGCTGTCCTATGCTACAGAAACATCTGCATGCACGTGTGGGAATGTTGATGCGCTTTGTCATCACGAAATGATGTCATCCCTTGAATGACTCTCTACAAGGTATGCATTCCTTGGACGCAAAGTAAAAGATAAGCAAGACAGCACGATGTAGTGTACTGAGTATGAAAGCAATCCTACTGCTTGATTGGAAGCCCACCAAGGAGTTCAATTTCACTTCCCCATGTTGTGGTTATTGACAACCATGAACATACCTCTATGTGGCTTTTACTAATTTGTCAGTTCCTCAAACATGCGAAGGTATTCTATGTTAAGTAGAGAGGATGTCCTCATATATCCTAATGTAGGCGGCAGATGAGTCTCCTATCATACCTTATGCATTTATATATAAATTTTGTTTTTGTTTTATTTTTAATTGTATGGTTAGAATCTTCAAAATAAATCATTTGTGAAAGTGTTGTCATGGCATGGATCAGGTAGTACCTTACTTCTGGTCAAACATAGACATTTAATAAAGGCTTTATATAGAATGAGCAAGGAGCAGGTTAATGACAGGTGGGAGAGTCAGGCATGAGGAATGAAACGTGCGCGAATGTTATAAAATAATGGAAGACAATCCACATAGGAATTGTATTGTATTTGGAATCTTTCTTCAAGGGAATCATATGTGAATGTTGCATGATTGATTAGTCAATTGGAATATGTGAAAATTCGAAGAAAATAATATTTGAGAGTAAAATTTGCGGCTAAATCTAGAGGCTCCGTCAATCTGGTTGCCAATATATGAATATGGACTTGACCTCTCATGATCTTTGACTGCAACTCTGATGATTTGTGTTGCAACAAAATTATAGATTTCTTTTCTGTTATATATAAATGAAGATTTTGTGTAAATTTCATATCTCGTAGTATTTGACAAATGGATTTCTTTTCTGTTATATATAAATGAAGATTTTGTGTAAATTTCAATTATGCGGATTCAGAATAACTTTTTGCTCTCATGTTTAACAAATGATATGTTTCTTTGTGATTTTAAAATTTACCTTGATTTAAAATTATATAAATGAAGATTTTGTGTAAATTTCATATAAATGATATGTTTCCGTTATATATTAATGAAGATTTTGTGTAAATTTCATATCTCGTAGTATTTGACAAATGGATTTCTTTTCTGTTATATATAAATGAAGATTTTGTGTAAATTTCAAATATGCGGATTCAGAATAACTTTTTGCTCTTATGTTTGACAAATGATATGTTTCTTTGTGATTAGAAAATTTACCTTGATTTAAAATTAATTCAAATATTTATGAATTATGATCCTAGCTCAACTTGAAGCTATTGCTTTTAATGCTTCTGTTGTGTTTCCCATGAGTCAGTCACAAGTCTCACTACTCACCAGAACAAAGTGATTGTTTGACAATAGTTGGTAGTTAATGAAATATTGAGCCTCTCTAATGATGTGTACCAGCATTACCTAGCTAGGTATGGTCATGGGCGAGTAATGTTGGTAGGACAGAGACTAGGATGGTTGTAGTTCAGTGGCTACAAGGAAGTAAGCTGTTTTTTGTCAAACATTTCAGTGTCTGATTATCAGGGGTTTGTTAGGACCAGCTTGAGCCCCCATCATTAGGCCATATTAAATAAAATTCTTCTACATAAGTATATGCAAATTATTATATAATGAGTCAAATAAAAATTGATTACTTAAAATATTTTGGTCAAATTTGATTAGTATAATGTTTATTATCCTTGCTGAACAAGTTCAGAATTATCTCAAGCTTAGTATTCCATCTCTTTATTTCTGGCATTCATGGTTTTCCACGACTACTACCGTACTACGTGCTGAAAATCAATGTAATTTCATTCTGGATGTTTTAATATGCACTTTAATAGGGTTGGTCAAAATGGGATATTTGAATTTTCTTAGAAGCTGATAAGCATATTGCCTAAACTATGCTGAACTCTTCAGCTAAAGATTTGGAGGATCTGAAATATTAATAATATAAGAGTTAATCAGGATTCATGGCCACTATTATACCAAATGCTTATTAAATAATTCAGATTGTTTATCATTTATGCTTATCAAAACACTTTTCAA